ACATGTTGTCTATCACAACTGTCAGCTCTTGTCGATGTAGCAGGATGTGATTGATGATATAAAGCCATCGTCTCGAGTGCTTCGATGTGGTATGTCAATCTTCTCCACTCGTCCGTTTGGGAGCACCTCAAAGGGCCTGTCTGGCGACTTGTCTGAGGCGCACTATGAAGAGATGCAAAGATGTAAGAATCCTTTTTCATCGCGTATCTCGCTACATTAGCTCGTGAATTATCCATCTTACAAGGCTTTGCGTAAACGTCTTGGGTATGAGCCCTCGAGACATTTCAGAAAGCCAGTCGTCTAGATCTTCCAGAACTGATGGCCAAATTCATGGCCAACGGCTGAACGGCAAGTAGAAAGTTTCATCGTAATATCATGATATATGCACTACTATGGCATATCACGGCTCCCTGAGCAACGTTGCTTGAGCTTTCAAGTGAGGATTCTGAACATAGGATGGCTTGACATCTGTCTGATATAAGGCGCTGTCTCCTCCGATCCCCACTCCTTCCCATTTTGAATATCTCCAGCCAGAGTTCGAAAACTTTCATCCGAGATAATGGCGCCGGCAACATAATCCGAATCAACAGGTTCCTGAAACATCTGAAGTTGTGTCGGATAAAAATCCAAGTGCCGCTTCCTCGGCGAGTCAGGACGGTCTATACCCGGCGGCGGGCGGAACTGGTGGAGTCGTAAACGCGGAGACAAAGTCTATCCTGGCCGAGCGGCCGGTCCCGGGTGCAGCCGGAACCGCATCCTATTGAGCCGTTCCGGGGTCACATGTTGGGCTTCCGGGGCTGGAAAGAGGGGAGAGAGGTCGAACCCCCGGACGGAAGGCCAGGTCGCAGAGTAGGAATGCCCAGGCCCGCGACTCAGCGAGGAGCGGGCACCAAGCCGGTTGGCTGCACCACCCCTTCCGGATGGACACCGATTCTGAACTAGTCTCAACAGAAGAGTCTCTGAGCGGTGTGTGTCAGATGCATCAGAGCCTTTTAGCGGCCGCATCGAAGCATCGAGTCGGCCAATAATGTCGGATTGGAGTCCCTGATTATCACGAGAACCGACTTCTCTGCATGTGGCTTGCAGCTGGAGGGTGGTATCATGGCGAGCGCGCGTGGCAGGAAAAAGCAGCAACCGGGCACGTGTGCGATTGCACCGCTCTAGGTGCTCGGGAATGAAGCTGAAAGTGCGGGCAATAATGAAGTCGTCGTGAGTTCTCACCGATCGAGACGGCCGGGGTTAATGCCTTGGCTCAGGTGAAGTTGGACTGTAGTGGAATTCCTGCGGCTCCCCTTTCCATAGCTTCATGCATCGAAATGGGGTTCCTGTGGACGAACTCAGCGAACGGTGCGTTGTCTGTTGATGGGTTCATCCATTGCCTAGGTAGCGTTCTTTAGCGGCAAGATAGCATCGTGCCGGTATCGGTGAACCTTGGGAATTCTTGTCATCATTGGAAAGACCAGACTGTCGTTTGCGTGGCGGTGGTAACACCAAAAAGTTTCACATATGGAGGAGCAGAGATAACGAAACAAGGGCGTTGCAACTGCAAGTAGGTTGCCGTGGGGAGACTCCAAAGTCTAGACAGCGGTGTGGGGGTTCAGCCATTCATGGGGGCCGGCGATCGTCGGTGAGCATGCTTGCTTGCCCCGGATACTGGTACGGAGTACGGATAGGTAGTGGTGGACTGTTGGTTGTGATTCAGATCATCAGATGAGGCGTACGTCGAGTGCCGGCCGAGATAGGTAGGTGAAAAAAAAACGACCCCCGCGGGCCGTGCGGAAACAAACAAGAAGTGACTGTTAGGAACGTGATGTGACGCTGACCGACGTTGACGGTTGTCGTTGCCCAGTTCCTCGCTCAACGTCTTGGGCTCGCCTTCGTGGGTGGAATGTGGGATGCTTTCAAGTCTTGGATCGATGAGCTGGCACAGCTGGCAAGCTTTGGACAATGCGTATCTCTGGACAATGGACGGGTCGATTGCGAACTTCTGTGGCTCATTAGGCCCAATTGCTTGCTCCCGAAGCGGTAGTCGTCCGATGTTTCCAAGTTCCCAAGAAAACATGGCGTCAGTTGAGGTGTCGGGTAGTGCCTGGTAGTGCAGCGCGACGACAACGAGTGACGCTCAGCGGGAGGCTTCCCCGAAAGGAGCCATCCCTGGTGAGGTCCATACATATTGAGTGACATGCCCGGAAGCATCGTGAGTTGGGCTACTGGCATTGCAAAATGCTTCGGTCAGGGTTCGTAGCTAATCTCGGGGCTTGACTCGCAAATAGAACCTCAGCCACGTCAGCGCCTCATTACCTCATCTTAGCAATACGGTATCCCCGGGTTGCGAGATTACCCCAGGTCTTCAGAGAAATGCCGTACCCTACAGTGGGCAGAATGAGCATTCCTGGGAGGCTGCCCCGTACTCTGGCGATGAGGGCGTCGTGAGTGTGACAAGAGACAACAGAAGCCTGGCCCTTCTGTTGTCTTTCCAAGGCGGGAGGCGGAAGACGGAGCGACGGTATGATTGTTGAATGGAACGCTGGGATATGCTAGCGCCAGTGCAGGGGTATTTGATCGGTGAGAGGCTTCCGAGAGAACCAAGCCAAGAGGCGCCTCACCCTCACCCTCACCCTCGCCCAACGCGATGCGATGCAAAGGTAAACAGAAGGGGCAGCTGGACGCTGCTGAGCCAGTGGTGAGTGGCCTTGTGACAGAGCTCTCGAATCCATCGTGTGCTATCGAGGGTTGGTTAATGAGTCGCAGAGTCGCAGAGAAGAGGGCACAAAAGTCTAAGTTTTTGAAAGTTCGGCTGGCAAAAGTTTTAGCGGGCTGTGAAGCGGCCTAGTTTGATAGGCATGGCCGCATTGGGGACAGATCCGGGGGCGAACAGACGCCATTTCCGTCAAGTCTGACAGGCTGTTGTCTCTAGGGGCTCCTCTTCTCTCCATGTCATTGCATTGGCGTTGATTGTGGTGAAGGTCGAGATCGAGGTCGAGGTCGAGGTCGAGGCCGTGAGACAGAGAAGGCGGCGAAAGTTTGAGAGTGCTGGCGCTAATGACCAACGTCTTTTGTCGTTGGCGGGCTCTCACTGCGCAAGCCAAGCATTCCTCATGGCTCTGGTGTGCGTCTGTGATGGTCTGGTGCCAGAGAGTCGTCTGCGGTGCTCAGCGGTGCCCACTGCCCGCACCTATTAGTGCTCACCTAGTTATGCATGATGCCGCTGTGTGTTTGCTGTCGGGCCTTGATAGTCGAGAGTCAATAGTCAAGACTTGGGTGCTCGTGGGCCCCCCCAAAGGAGAGAGCGAGGCTGGCCCAGGTTCCAGGCTAGGATAGCATGCATAATAACGGGTCATGGACATGGTTGTGATTCTCGGGTCGAGCTCGTCGTACTGAGCGGGACGTCTATGGATACATATGTATCCGTACAAAGTAGAGGCAGACTCTGAGAGTCCGAATTGGTCAAAGAGAACAATGATGTCAGGGACCTTGGTAGACCGGTAGGTACGGATACGGATATCTTGTGGCGTACATACGGCGGGCGTACGGCGTAGGTACTGGATCGCGACACTCTGAAATGTACGAATATCCGTATTGGCAATACTGCGTACTGGTAGAGGAGAGGCTGGAGACGTAAAGGCTGGCGTGCGGAAAGTCAGCTGAAGCGTGGCTCGGGGGCTCTGTTCCCTGCCCTGCCCTGGAGCGATCGCCTCCCAAGTCAGATCAGGTGGCCTTGGTGCCCACCTTATTATGTTAAGGGTACGAGAGGAAATGCGGGCAGAAAGGGGGGAAACAAGAGAAATGGGTGCTCTGGAGGTGGTCTCTGGAGACTGGAGACGGACAGAAGACTGGAGATTTCGGGGAGTAGGAAACAGAATTGCATACTGTGGCCAGTGGTAAAACACGCGACCAAAGAGGACCCTTGTGGGCTTCCCATCCGAGTATGTTTAGTTGAGCCGCCGATACGGTCAAGGTACAGAGTGAGGTAGGGCAATCGAGAAAATACTGGTGAGGTATCGTGGATATTCAGGGCGCAATTGTTCAGTGGGCGGAGGGAGCGACGGGATCAGCATGTACCTGCAAGGTGTGGCTGGCTCCGGCTGCGACTGTGTTTGTCTCCGGTTGCTCACCTTTCTCCAGACCCAAGAGGAAGAAGTGGGAGCAATGGAGAGAGAGAGACACTGGAGGATGTGCGTGCACACACAACGGATACACTGCAACAGCGGGGAGAGCGGGCGGGGGCATTGTGCGACATCGGGCGTGTTTCTGACAAAGTCGAGTCTGGACTCTTTCCTGAATGTTTTAATTATTTACGCAGTTGAGAGTATTAGGTAAGAAAGTCTGACTCTTTCCTTCTTGTCTGTTTCTTGCCTTGTTCCTTCCTCCGATTTCGTAATTTTGAAAGAGAGGAAGGCATGTCCCAGCACGTCAAGACTCAAAAAGCAGGTGCGAATTAAGGTAGAGGAAAGAGCGGAAGGTGAGGGAAAGAACGACACCGACATCATTCATTCCACGGCATCGGTGACTGCCCTCGTTCCTGCCCCGCGAGACCACCCACAATACCCTAGGTAGGTACTTCGTACGATGTACATCACTCAGGTACCTGGCACAGTGTCTGGGGCTCAGGGTAAGGTAGGTACGTAGCTGTCATCCCACTCTGTAACCTGTCCCAACCCCACTACACCCTCGCATCCGCCCTGTCCGCGCCGTGGTCGACAGTCTGCTGGCGGCGCTGGCCCTGCTTTAATCGCCATTAAAAGTACCTGCTTGGGTTCTGGAACGAGGTATCTTGGCCATGTGCTGAGTGAAAGTGAAGTACTGGATACGAGTCAATACTTGTCAGACTCAATCTCCGACAGCCAATTACATCCCTAAAAGTAGACGGCTTCACACATGTTCGCATGACTACTTGGTACTCAACAAGTATCGGAGACATCTCGACTCTCACTGTACTACAGTCACTCTATCCTGCTTTTGCGGCTTGCCCTCTTCCTCGTTCCCTGTCGCTGTTGCCGCTCCCGACTATCGCTGCCCTCCACTGCGTAGGTAAGGTGGTAGGTACGTCTGCGCCGTGTACGCAGTACTCGCTGCTTCCAGCCATATACGCCCTGTGACCGGTCACCGCCGCATGCCCCTTTGCATTCTCTCCGTCTTTTCCCACGATTGACACACAAGGGCTCAACCGAACAAGACGAGCCCGTACCTTACCTCGTCACCTCCGAGTCTTGTCCTCTGACAAAACTCACGATCTATCCGTCTTACTACCTCCCTCCTTCCCTCCTCTCATCCCTTTCTTTCTCTTCCCCTCCTCAACACCTACGCGCCGCACGGGCAGCGACAGCAACATTTCATCGCGGCATCGCCCAACCACAGACCAGCCTCTCCCACCACATCTACACTCTACCTGAGGTACTGCCCTCAACCGACACCGGGGCCACCTCTGCGTCACTCTTTCGTCCCATCACTCTCACTCTGCCCCTCGTCTCACTGAAAAAAGGGTTCTCCAACACAACCTCCCCAACCAACTTTTCCCATTCGGCCTGGTGTTCTCTGCCCTATCCAACTCCTCTCGTTCGGATCGACGCTTCGAAATTATCCTTTCGCCAATCCTTCCCCAACTCTCCATCTGCCGCCCTCCGCCATGGCTCAATCCACCGAGCCGCGGAGGCGGTTCGCCCCCGTTCCTATCGAGACCACCTTCGAGTCTGTACGTAAGACTACTGAGCAACAACCGCAATCTCAGCAACAGCAACATCAAACAGGCCCGGCACCTGAGTTGACTCCCGAACACACCCCGCGAACGCCCTCTCCCAATCCTTTCGAGCAGCGGATGCAGCAGCCGCCGCCGCAATTGCATTCTCTGCAAAGCCAGCCGGCACCGAGACGCCGCTTCGCTCCCCAACTTATCGAGACCTCTAGGCGCGCCCGTAGGGAGGGCGACGCTGGTCCTGCCACTCGCCCGACCGATAAGACCGACATCACCCCTTACACGAATCACATCTACCTCCAACGGAACAAGTCGAGACGCAAGTTGAACGATGGCGCCGCTTCGCCCGCTTCCCAGACTCAACAGATTCAGAGGCAACCAAAGGGCGCACGAAGAGAGTCGGAAGACGAGAATGCAGGCACCTACATGTTGGAATGGGCTGCTATGGAGGCTGAACGCCAGATGCAAGAGGCTGCTCTGGCAGCGTTCCCCAACAGTCGCCCGCGTGAGGGAGGCGCCGCCCATTTCTACTTCAGAGAGAGTTCGGGAGACGACAGCACACCAGAGAGCGTCTCGCCACAGCAGACCGGTACTCAGGCCAAGCCAAGGGGCCGCCATGGCCATGCTCCCCGCCGCAAGTCTTCAGAAGTTGGATATTGGCAAAAGGAGATGCAGAAGCATGCCCAGGATCTGGCTGTTGCCAGAGGCGAGCACGCGCCTGTCTTTGACGATGACGACGACGACAGCACCAAGAACGATTCCGAACTCGACAGGATGGAACTCGACACCCCGCCAGATCCCATGTGGTTGACGAACAAGAGGAACCACACCACCGACACCAGCTCCAAAGGACCATTGGAACCGATTGGCGAGAGTTTCATGCCGCTGATCGCGCCTGACCCAATCGCTACTCAAGATACCCGACGTCCGGAGCTTCCTCCCCCAGAGCCGGTGAGCAAGCCCATTGGCGAATCTGGCATGCCATACATTCCGCCAGACGCGGCCAGCAAGCCTGCCCAAGTGCCTATCGCCGCACCTGCGCAGGTCGTTCCCGAAACCGGCTTCCGAAAGCCTCAAGGCGGATTTGGCCGCCCGTTCGGCAACTTCGGACTCCCTGCGGAGACAAGCGAGTTTCGCAAGATGCGCAAGGCGGCGTCCCCGCCGATGCTGGGCAAGGACCTGGTTTTCCGAAAATGCCCCTCGCCGAAGCAGACCAAACTTGAGCCGGACCACCCCTTCACCGAAGGCCCGACCGTCGAGGAGAGAAACAGGGATGCCACGGGAGAAGCCGGCTTGTGGAGGGGTTACTGCTTCCGGGGCAGCGAAAGCGATCAGGCCATTGTACCACCGCATCTTCAAGGTCCCAGAATGCTGCATACACCGCTTCCAGCCGCCACCCCTGCGGACCCATTCGCTGCAGCCTTTAGCAAGAGCTCATTGACGGATGAGCCTGGATCGGACTATGCGTCTGCGACTCTGACACCAAACACAGCTGAGCACCGCGTTCGATCGGGCGAGGCCAAGGGTCTTCACATGCTCGCTGGCCTTGAGGACCGCCTCAAGCGCGAAAAAGCATTGGAGGAGAAGATTGCATCGGAATTCGACGACATCTTTATCACGCAGGTCTACAACTACTTGTCGCTGGGATACCCCGCCATGGCAAGGTCCTTTGACGAGGAACTTGCCAAGATTGCTCAAGTCAGTGTCGAAGAGCTTGAAGCTGATGACGCAAAGCAAATGGCAAGTGGTCATTTGATGGAGCCGGCTGAGGCTGAGTTGGCAGAGGAGAAGAGATGCCCGAGATGGAAGGCGCTAAAATCCTACATCTACGAGTGGGCTAGACAACACCCGGATCTGGACAGCCTGGATTCCCTCGCATGGGGCGTACGAGAGAGACGAGGCAGTTGGGCCATTTAGACGGTCGACATAACAATACGAGAGAGAGAAAAAAAGCAAATGTGCAGTTTTTGACATTTCGCCATTGGAGACGAGGATTCAGCGGGCAACACAGCATGGTCGAACCGAGCAGAAGAGCAGCATACTGGGTGATTTGATAGAGGCAGTGCGATTTCAACGAGGCGTTTCACATTGTCTCCCACCTTTCTCAACAGGGAGACTCTTTTTTGGCAGCAACCGGCATGATTTGGTGGTTTGATACAGGACAAAACACGAGGTGTTGAGGGCCTAGAACGATAAGAGGAGCTGCAAGCTCGCATTCTAGATGCTGCCTGTGGGGTCAAAGCAGGTGGAGAGGAACAGCATTCGGACACAAATGGGAAAGGGGCGCAGCAACGTTGTGGGTCACGTCGAGAAGAGGATGCAGAGTGCAAATGCTCCCAACGCGGAGAATTTGAGGCATCAGTGAGGATGACAGAATGTACACGAACCTTGCCCTCAGGGGTGCTGACACCACAGTGGGCAAAGGGTTTTCGATAGGTACATTGGAATGTGAATTCAACGGCAACGGCCGTCTGATTTGACTCAGTATCTTGGACTGTTTCTCACTGCGATGTTTTCTCACTGCGATGATGTATGCACGTTTGTGTGACTGCTTTGTGAACATGATATACACACAACAAGCATTGTTGAGGTTGCGAGTACTGATGACGAGTGTGGAAGAGATAAAGATATCCATGGGTATCACAGCAAGGCCCAAGGAGAGGGCATTTCCAACAAAGTAGCCTTCAGCCTAAGCTCGTTAGTTCTGGGTGGCCAAATTCCAACATCTTTTTAGCCAAGGAGGTCTGTTAAACGTCTCGTGTGTTGCTTGACGCCTTACATAGCTCTGAGCAATAAACCCATTTACTGTTGAGTTTAGTAGGTTGAGGCCAGGGAAAACTTTCATGAAAGCTCGGCGGCAGGTGGGATATATTATGCGATGTCTAGAGCCAAAGTTTGAGAGCCTGTCTGAGCCTGGAACCGATGCCGTGTACGGCTCTGCTATCGGCATCTGGGGTAGCCGCCGTTCGGTGCGGGGCCGGCGGTCGAAGCCTGTCTTTATTCTTTTACATTCTCGTTGGGCTTTGGTGTTTCTTGGGCTCCGAGTTAAGACAACACCATGTCCGACTTCTGTGATCCCAGCCACAAGCAGCACTTTGAGTGCCATGTCTTTAATCCCTTCTTCCAGTCTCATCCACCTTAAGTTGCCACTTATATCCCCCTCTGAGATGAGTTATTCTTCTTTGTCCTGACTTGGTGTTGGTATAGAATTCGCATCAGTACGAGAATCGGCATGATATCAAAGCCATATCAAGATCAAGATCAAATGCTCATAAGCTCGCTCAAAAGCAACTTGATTCCACAGATCCTTTCATGGCATTAAAGCCTCCCCAACGACATCCGCAAACCCCTCACACAAAGAACTCGTTGATCGTCTTGACAACCTCATCAGGCGCCTGCTCCGGGATATAATGCCCGCTCTCCACACTCCTCCCCTGAACCTCAACCCCCTCCCCAGCAACCTTCCTCCACTCGCCCACCGCATCAAAACACTTCTCAATCACCCCGTGCTTCCCCCACAGCACAACAAGCGGCGTCCGCAACACCCTCCCCTCCCGCAAATCCGCCTCCGCCTCCTCGAGATCCAACGTCGCGCTCGCGCGGTAGTCGTTGCACATGGCGCTCACGGCCTCCGGCTGGCCCATGACCTGCGCGTAGAAGTCAAAGTCCTCCTCTCTGAAGATTTGCAGACCCGTGAGCTGGCGTCCGCCCATGAAGAGTTCGAGAAACTTGCGCGGCGCGGCGTTGATGAGGGTTTCTGGGAGGGGCGAGGGTTGAATCAGGAAGAACCAGTGGAAATACGCCTTGGCGAAGTCGAGGTTCGTGGTCTTGTACATCACCAGCGTGGGACAGATGTCTAGGAAGATGGCTTTGCGGATGCGGGAGGGGAAGTCTACGCATAACTTGTGCGCGACCCTCGCGCCGCGGTCGTGGGCGCAGACGTAGAAGGCAGAGTTGTTGGAGGAGGAGGTGTAGCCGAGGGAGTCCATGACGGCGATGCAGTCCCGCGCCATGGCGGATTTTGCGTAGGAGGGGACGCCATCTGGTTTCGAGCTGTTGCCGTAGCCGCGGATGTCGATTGCGATGACGGTGTAGCGGTCTTTGACGGCGGTTGCGACGTTGTGCCAGATGTGGTGGCTTTGGGGGAAGCCGTGGAGGAGGAGGAGGGGTGGGAGGGAGGAAGTGGTTGCGTCGCCGCTTTTGATGCCGTGGATGACGACGTCGGGCGAGGTTTGGGTTGTTACTGTGAAGGGGGAGAAACCTTCAAAGGTCGTCATGGTGTATTGTTGTATTGTGTTTGAGTTGATAGGGATGACGATGGTTGAAGATTGGATCAAGTAGCTTACTAGTCTTCACGTCTTGGCTTTCTGGAAATATATGAGATGTCTGCGACGCAGTTTCGTGGGGTTTATAATATCAGGATGGAGATTGACGCCCTTTGCGATTACATGCGGCTAATATTTGACGCGGAGTAAGGCAATGCGATGTGACGCCACGACTTGCCCGCCCACGTTTACTCATCTTACACGGCCAAATGCCCATTTTCCCCGCGCGCGCTAAGATCGCTGACAAGACGATTCAAGATGACTGCTTTACGCCGCCACAGCGCTATTATTACGAAGCTTTAATCCATCGGAGTAGTGCGGATTTTCCCCGTTTAGATGCTTTGAGTTCTTACACATCGGCTAAACTAAACAACCGCGGATTCTAGGAAGCCGAAAACGTGCCTTATTGGAGAGAGCATGAGTTGAGGTAGCAACTCTCCTACATTGCAATGTATCTCTCAACCATAACACACAAAAGAGCATGCTTAGAGAGTCTAAGTGACTAGTTTCGTAGAGGAAGAGTCTTCGCCATCTCACTGCTCGCTTTCCATGAGACCCAGCAACGCGCAAAAAAGACCCATCCCTGACCGGCCCTAATCCTCGTCGTGATCCACCACCCACGACACACAAACATGAGCGCCTAGGGCTCGCCAAATCTTCAACCCCGCTTCAATGCGGATTGATTCCACGGCGTTGTGGCAGAGTGGTCTAATGCGCAAGACTAGAAATCTTGTTCCTTCGGGAGCGTCTGTTCGAATCAGGCCAACGTCGAGTTAATCTTTTACTGGATCACCACATTCCCATTTTTTGTAAGTTTTGTTGAGATGAGTGACTTACTCGTCAACTTCCATGGCCTTGCTGCTATCTAGGATGCGCGATGTCCTCAGACATAACTCAAAAAATAACGGAATGGATGGTAACATCGTTGGTTGAGATCACGGCCCTCACCCTTCAAATCCCCGAAAAGAAAACCCCCTCCCAATCTCGTCACCATCCTCCATCACAAACGTACTCGAGCCCGTATAATGAGCCTGCCCACTTACCTCGACCCTCCAAGCCCTCCGCCCACCAACATCAACCTCCTCCACGGGCGTCCCTACAAATGCTCCGCGATCCCCGCCAACACCCCTCGATACAAGACTGTGATACGTCCACGACTGGCCCAGTTTCCTCTCCCCTCGCGCAGCAGCTAACGCAACTCGTGCCTGGACGACTGACCCCGTCGGACTCCGATCAATCTGCTGGTCGCCGAAGAAGTACAACCCCGTCTCCGCGCCTACGCAGCCTTGTGCCGTGGGGAGGACGTCATTGCTGCCCGTGTCTGTGACCATGATGCCATAGAGATACTGCGAGCCCGTGTCCGTCTTGCTGTCTGTGGGATCTTCAAGGCGGGCGCGGAGGTCTGCCGAGGCGTTGAAGGCTTGCTTGAGCTTCTTCGTTGCGTGACTGAGGGCGCTGACATCTGCTTTCGCGAGAGATGCCGGGAACCCCAGAGCTGCGGCAGACACGACAGCGTAGAACGCGCCGCCAAACGCAACGTCCATCGTCACGGCTGCGGCATCACCCAGCTCCGGCCACCCCAGATCCCGCGGGATCGGAACAGAGAGATCAACAGCCGTAGCGAAAGTCGGCACAGAAAGAAACGTAATCCGCCTTTCCGTGTCCGCCTTCCATCCCCGGATGCCCACGGTGACCCCCGTGCCGCCATCCACATCCACCTTGACAACAGGAACCGTGAGTCTCACTACCCCAACAGGCGCATGCAACCTGACCTCCACCGTCTGCCGCTCCTCATCGACAACCAGATTCCGTCGCCGCGGGAAGACCGTCTCGTCTGTGCAGTCGACGAGGAACCTGCCGAGCGCGAGCGTGGCGTGCCCGCACATTGCGCCGTACCCTTCGTGCGTGAGGAATAAGGCGCCCATGTGCGCCTCGCCTGTATCGACGAGTTCTGTGTGGGGCCGGAGGACGGCGCCGTACATATCTGCGTGGCCGCGCGGTTCGTAGATTATGCTGCGGCGGATGTGGTCGTGGCTGGTTTGGGCGAGGGAGCGCTGTTCGAGGAGGGTGCCGCTGGAGGAGGGGGATTGGTGACCGGTTAGGGGGATAGGGTCTCTCATTGATCGTGAAGGGGGGTTTACTCGTGATATGAGGCATGTTGGTGGAGGGAGACTTACGGTATGTCTGGGTAGCCGGCGTATACGATGCGCGCCGGCTCTCCGGCTGTGTGCATCTCCACGGTCCGGATCTCGGTGCCCGCGAAAGGCGGTAGGAAGGATGGCAGGCTCATGATGGGTGAGTCAATCGAAGGTTCGTAAGTTTGATGCTCTCTACAAGCCTCTAATGACACTTGCTGTTAAGGCTTCTAGGAAACCTGCACGAGGGGGATGATGTAGTTGCAAGAAAGGGCGCAGCGTCAGCCGCTGACATCCGCTTCGCAATCCTCCGAGTCGGGTTCCACCTTTTCCGGCCGCGGGTTGCCGATGTCGGGGGTGTATCCACCGTGACGGCGGCCCCGGAGCGAGTGCACGTCGGCATTGAGTAAGTCAAGGGGGATCTCTCAGTGCACATATCGAATCCCAGAAGTCCTGATGAATGGATCCTGATGAACAGAACCTGATGAACAGAAAGGCTAGTCAAGACTCGAGATGATCAGTGTCCACAATTCTTCCCAACAACCACAGATAAGACCAAGCTCAGATTAGCAACAAGTAGATCACCAAACATGAATCACTCGGGCAGGAAGATGTGAATACAGCTCAAGCAATCGTATCGATTCCCTTGAGAGGGCCTCACTTCTTGCAGTCAAGCAGCACGCCTTTCCTGGCGCCAGACTACCTAAGAACCACCACGTTTCGCTGCCGCCATCTTTGCAACTAGCCAAGTCCTGAGCTATCCTTAATGCAGTGAAGAAATCGCGTTTTGGGGTTGCATCTTCTGCAACGGGATTCCAATGATGAGATGAAAACTCGGTTTCAGCTTCTTCGACACGTGCCTTGACCTGCCGTTTGTCTCATATAGGTATTGATCGCTGGTGGCCTTTCGTGGGAGGGGTTCTGTTATAGTTCACCGTCACGAACACCTATTACGTTTTGGGATGTCGGGGTTCATCACGAATATGCTTACACTCAAAAGTTCTTTACCTCTACCAGGTCATACGGCGGCCAACTACAGTGATGGGTACCTACGGCTGAGAACCAACTTATGATGGTAGCGTAAGATGTTGACGGAAGGTAGAATAATCTCATTCTCGGCAGCTTGAAGCCCCTATAGTATTTCCTCTTGATTCTGTTGTCGTATGGGAAGTGAGAGGAGAGATCAGCCGCATAGTCAACATGGTAAGAAGAGGCTCGCTCAAACCTAAAACTCGTGGTAAATGAGCCCACAGGCTTGTAAGCAGAAGCGATCCTTCTCGTCAAGTGGTGTTCCCTCCGCAACCAAGTAGTGGCCGCCTTGGGGACCGGGAAGACCCTGACTCAAATAGGCCACCGCGCGAGCCATACGGCTGCGAACTGATCCGACGTTCACAATCACCAAACTCTGGTTCCGAGCTTCCGCCCTCGACTTCGGACGACCCTCTTGATCCTTCAAAGGCTGGAAGTGGTTTGTTCACGGGGGGCCTTGAGACTCGCCGAATCGGCAGCGGTAGCGATAGCGATCAATCTGAGTGACTTACACTCACTGTGACTGTGACTGGAAGCCGTAGACACCTTACTCGCCTCGGATTCTCCATCCCTGCTCTTGAACAAACGCTGTTTATCCGATGTTTCTGAAGAGATGTAAGTGGCGATTTGACAACGGATCGAGGCTTCCGGTTCTAGAAGCTGATGTGGAAGAGATTGAGAAAGACGAGAGGGTTGATGAGGGGGCGAGTAGTCACCTGCAAGTGATTTACGCACTTTGAATGGGGCGATGAATGTTGTCACCCTCAAAAGTATCTCGTCTCGAGAATGGAGATATACTAGTGCAACCATCGTAAACTGATGAGAAGCGACAGCCTCCCACCACCCGACATTGATAGCCTATTAGATCGGGATCAGGTGTCAAGTCTATTTCCGTTCAGAGGATTGTATCCTGCCCCGAAGATGGCTGCACCCTCGAAGCCAATCGCAGCCCTACCAGCTTACGCTTACACCAACCATCGTCCTCACCAGCCAACTACCCAGATCTCACGCATACCACAAATCTATTCATGGCCACAATCCTCCTCCCCCTCATCTCATACCTCCCTCAGATCAAGTAAAGAATCCCGTAAGACTAGCCGCAATAATCTTAGTACGAACGGGATCGCATTCCGCCGTATTAGGTTCACGGCTACATTTCTGACAAGACTCACGGGCTCCTGCAAGATCATCTGTGGGTGAAGCCTGGAGCTGAACACACATACCTTCCCTCTGATGCATCGCCGGCCCGTCGGTAAGCCCTGTATCCCAGTCTTCCCCAGCACCATCTCACTCTATCGTACCCGCTCACCCAAACACCCGAAAATCTCGTACTCTAAACCCATGCCATCACAGTACTGACAAACCAGACACGATTCATCCACCCTTCTGAACTTCTGGTCCAGGCCTACACGCGTGGCCTCTCTCCATTCGAAAGTGCATGATCAGCACGAGAGATCCGGTTCACGAATCTCAAGTCCAAACTAGGAGTGGGGTAGGTGTATGTATCACCGCACGACCTCATGTGCAGAAACCACACCCATATAATCCGAAGATCTCACACTCAGGCTGCCAAAATGTAAAAAAGGTCACCTCCCTCTCTTCCTGCCCGTCTCGGGCGTCGGAAGACGTTCTTAGAATGTAACCCTTCTTTTCTTCCACGTTGTTGGTCTTCTCCCCTGTACATTCTCTCGCTGCGACTCTATTAACCAGCGTGCTTCTCAAAACCCCTCCTCTGCTCAGACCTATTACCCTAAGACCGCAAAGTTTCATCAGCAGAGCTGCAGAGAAGAGAAGAAAGGAAATCACTCCATGAAGCTGCAGCAGCGCTCCCACCGCGCGCTCTCGAGATGCACATCTCCCCCCCAGTGTCCGGGTCCCCTCTCTCGACACTATCCCTCTTCCTCCTCTTGCTCAGTAACACAGTCCTCGGCAGCACGTTGACCACCCCGACCCCGACCACAACCACCACGCAAAATCAAAAGAATGAGCCAGCGGCACCCCCGAACCGCGCCTACGAGGCTCCGCTCCTGACCATAACCCCGGCCCCGGACTCCTCCGCCGTATCCCGCCGTCTCCTCCGCGCCCGCCAAGGCGACCCGCGGTCCTCGGACGGCCGCACGAATTTCATCGCGTGGTATTCCCAGTCCGGCGCTTGGGTCTCGGCGACATGTCCGCCAGACAACTACTTTGCTGCGGATAGTAAATATGGGGTCTGTTGTCCGCGGAATAATCCCTTCTGCGAGATGGCGACGTCGTGTGGTGGGCCGTTCGGGAATTATGCTGTTGGGCCGACTGGACAGGCAGACTGGTAATGAATCCCCCAATTTCTTTGCCATTTTCTTCACGAGCTGCGCTTTATCGGGTCTTGGGATTATGGGAAAATGGCCAAAGAGTGTGTGTACTAATTAGAGCGGTAGTGGACCGAGTAACACCTGCGACACCATAACCATGCTCCAAACACAAGGTAGCACCGACGCGAGGAGAATCATCTTCTGCATCGCCATGTCGGAGCTCTACGTCCTTCCAATGACTTGGTACCGCGTCACACATCCACGTGAGTGCCCCGGTCCTGTTTCCCTTAAACCCATTGCCTACGAGACCTCATCCTGGACTATCATTACCCACGGGCAATCCTAACAACACGGGCTCCGTGCCCCTTGCAGTCCCCGAAGCCTCCGTTGCAACAGTAACGGTGACCCAAAGCACAACGGTGACGGCCACTCCCGGGGTCGGAGGGAGCCGCATGAGTGGGCAAGCCAGCACCCCCTCCTGTTCGCCGCCTGCCATGATGGCTCTATCGGTGGCTGCTATGATCTCGTTTTTGGCTCTCATCATTCCATGAAAGGCTTTCGAGGGAAAACGCTGGGGACCAGGTTGGTCACCAGCTTTCCACGTATTAGCTTCCATTTACCATGTTCGTGGCTGGTGAGCCTTGGAATCAATCCCTCTTGAGAATAGTAAGGATAAGTCAACAGAGCCCCAGACGCTGTAATCTGATGTTTGGGAAAACACATCGTAAAGCCTATTCTCCGACGAACAATTACGGCCATTTTACGAAGACAGCAGCTAGGCCAGGTCAGGAAGTGAGTCAGGGCCAAGTAGCACGGGGCTGCAAGGTATAGAAAATCCCACGCCGTGTGCAAGGAACCGGCCATAGCGCCATCTATTCGAGCGAGCGGGATCACCAGACAAGGACGAAGCTCCCACACGTACATGATCAGCATCTTCCAACCGTACATCTTTATCCACAGAGCAGAGAACACATAGACTATCTTTTCTCATGATCAATATCAATGGGAATCTTGTCATTAATACAATCACTAAAGGGAACATTGCGTTCCACAAAGAGTGCAGGTCTTCATAGGCCCGGGAGTACCTTTCTCGTCGGCCGCATGTGGACTCCCCGCCCGGCACCCACCGCCGGGCCCACACCGGGACCAATTAGCCCAACCCGGCCTTCCGATCTCCATTCGCAGCCTCAACCTCCATGAGTCCATATCCCATCGTTACCGCAACGCTTTCCAAAACATTCCAGTACCAAGAAGCCCAAACCTCGCGTTCATCGGAGCCCTCTGAATACGAATCACCCCATTCAGTTGCACACATTTGTCTCCAGCCATTTTCCCATGCCGTATTCGATCCGGGCCTTGGTGGGCGGTCTGCGCATCGGTCGTTCCGATATTACTATCCGGCGCCGCTTGCTGGCGCTGATTCATCCACAGGAGCAGGCCATTGACCTAGAAACCCTTGGCCGAGCCTCGAGTCTCACGACGGACTTGATGCAGTCTCGATCGCGGTGAGAAAGGCATGGAAGATGGGGGCCAAGGGTACTGAGTGGCCGTCCATAATGCGTGATGCCGACGCCATAGAGGTCAAGTTCACTTGAAGCAATCTGCGGATTGTAGACTTCGTCAATAGCACGGGTTGAAAAGTTTTATACATCATATTCTACAGCTCAAATGTTGGCTAGCCTCTTTTGACGTCCGCTAGCTGGCAATAAAAGATGCTATGTATTGGGCATACAGTCACAACGCCCGCAAATCAACGCTCTTCTCAATCCCGCTGTAGGGCAGATACATCGCCTGTGCGCTCAATGCGCAGGAGTCCTCCGCGACGTCCACGGTCATCGCTATCCCCGCGGTCCACCCCCGACCCAGGGCCGTGAGGCAATGGGTCAGGGAAGCGCCCGCTTGAGATGCTGCTGAGCGTCACGCGAGGGAAGCCCTTTCTAGCGTGTCGGAATGAGCCAAGTAGTACAGCGCCAAACTCCCCTATCGTAGGGTACCAGGCGCATTCAGTCGTCCTCCCCACGCCACATAGCGACTTTTGGACCCAAAAAGTTGCTGCTACTCATTATGCCTCTCTATTCCTCTTCCGAATCCGAAGATTCACTGTCATTGTCGTGAACAGGAGCTTCGTGCGCACGACCAGAGCTACCAGGTCGCTCTTGATCACCCGGTTCCTTGCCGTCGTACATATTGCGAAGCCGCTCGAGCTCGGCAATGCGAGCCTCTTGCTCTTGAGCGTTCATGGGCTTGTTCTTCTTCGACTTGGACGGCTTGTTTGCCGACGACTTTGCCGCTGCATTGTTCACTGGTGATGCGTCACGTGCTGGTCCGTTCGAACCCAAGCCCTGCCCAAAGCTCGGCAAAGTCTTTTTGCACAGATCCCACAGCTTGTGAAGCGCCTCATTGGTGAGTTGGTCGATCTCCAATTCGAGTTCGCCACTGCTATTTTCCTGCAAGGATGGTCAGCATACATCTAATGAAGAAAACAGATCGGTTTGTCTTACCGATTGGCCAGTATCTTTCTTGATGATGTCGATGGCACGTTCTATGTGAGGACTCTCAAGTTCGTTAATAGCGTTCGCGATAGCATCCTTCTCAGCTTGGTTCATGTTTCGTTGCTTGGGTTTCTTAGCCACGCCGCCACCGCTCTTCTTCGAGACGGGAGCCGCGGCTGCCTTCTTCGCGGGGACATTAGCCGCCTTCGACTTAGCAGGCTTTGGCGGCTTGGCCTTAGCGGCGCTCTTGGCAGGCTTCGTGGTGGTGAGCTTGGCCTTCTCGTCTATGAGACGCTGCCGGATGGTGGTGAGCAAAGACTGCTGAAGGTCGATAACAGCGTCACTAGCGATGTCCGCCGTCTTGTAGAGCTCGGTCAATTGCTTCGTCTCCTGCTCGAGACGCTTCTCCAGGAATGCAATCGTCGCAGCCACCGAGGGATCAACTGCAGGGGCTGGCGCCTCTTCCTCTTCCTCGGCTTCGTCTTCACTATCGCGACTTGAGCCGTCATCAACTGGCTTGGCGGGGGTGTGCTTGTTTATCCACTGCTCCTTCTTTGACCACAGACCCCTAAAGATTTGCTCGAGCTGTTGACCTTGCTCGTAGACGGGCTGGCCAGGTTGATTGAACTTGTAACAGTTCTTAAAGACCTGCTTGACATCGGTTTGGAACTCCTTGATACCGGGATAGTCGTAGCTCTTGAGCTTGGCCATAATCGTACCAAAGTCCATCGGCCGCTTGATGATGGTAAAATAGGTGGGGATGGCTAGGGCCACGGGATCGACCGGGGACAGGAATGCGAGGTTGCACGAGGCGTTCTTGGGATCCATCAGTTCACTGACAACCTCGTAACAAAATTGAAGCTCAATGGGCAACTTCTTCCGGTTGAAGGTCTTGGAGGAGTAGTCGGGGTCGCGATTCTTGGTGGGCTGGATGGCGCGCTTGGGACGGTCCAAGTCATTCTGTGTCGAGGCACGGCGAACTTGCGGCACACCGCCAGGAGGAACGGCATATGCTTCGGCCTCCGCCTTTGCCGGCGGGCTCGCGGCAGCAATGCTAGGCTGTCTACGGACAGGAGGCGGAGGGGCTGATGTCCGTGACTCTGAGTATCGGGAGGGCTTCGGCACTGGCTTCGACTTCGCGGGCTCGTCGGAAGGAATCTCGAAAACGCGGGTCCAGGCTAACTTAACCACACTAAGTGCCGCGAACGTGATTTCATTGTTGATGCCGTTGAAAGTGACTGAGTTCTTGTAGATCAATCCAAGATCATCCTTGAACTGACGCAGGCTGCTGTACTTGTTGTCGCGCAGGCCTCGCTCAAGCTCGCCGATATCCATAGGCCTGTTAACCCGCATGAGATAGCTCTCGGCAAGGCTAGGCCACATCCGGACAACCGCGTCCTTGAAGTGAGCGCCGTGTTTGGTCTTCTTTACACCCGCCAATACCTTGCGGAATTCTCTCGTTTGGTGAGATGTCAGGGGTTTGGGGTCGCGTGCAGCATCGATCCATGAAGGGAGGTCTTCGAGAGCCGCCTCACCCTTGGCCAAATCGTCTTGCGCGCCTTGGGGCTTAACCTCGACGGTGGACTCGATGGCTCCATCATTCGAATCGGTCTTCGCGCGCTTGGGAGCGGGCTCAGCATCGGCGTCATCTTCTCTCTCGCGAGAAACCTTGCTAACGGTTGATGGCGCCTCCGCCATGGGCATGTCTTCGTCTGCAGGCTTCGAAGGCTTGTCCTTTTCCTTGTCATTGTCAATGGCCAGTTGAGACAAGCTTGCTGGTTGGAGATCTACCTCTTGGTCAGCGGCAGTTGTAGGAGCCGCCGGCGACTCGTCCTTTGCTCCGTTGACCTTGTCGTCGCTCTCCTTCATTTCGACGTCCTTGTCTTTGATTTCTGTCACAGCCTTCGCAGGCTCAGAAGCCTCCGCCTTCCTCTCAGTTGCCTTCTCCTCTGGCTTCTCGTCGGTCTTCTTCTCCGCCTTTTCGACCTCTGGAGCGTCGGCCATGTCGACGTCGTTGGGAAGCTCAGCAGGTGGGGGGCTCAGAGATTTGCTAAGTTCCTTGCTTTCCTTTGACTGCTCAGGCTCTGCGGACTTGGGCTTGGTAGAAGATTCGTCAGCCGGTGTAGGTGACTTTTTGGCTGATTCCTCTTTCTCCGTCTCCTTCTCATTGGCGGAAGCTACTTTCGCATCGGACGACGCCTTCACTTCCTCATCGTGCTTGCTGTCGCCATTGGTTTTGGGTGACTTTGCGGACTCGTCTGCCTTCTCGGAACTCTTCTCAGCAGGCGAGGTGTGACTGTGGAAGGAGAAGCAATCATCAGCAATTGTGCTCTGAGAGAGGCCGTGCGAACGGGTAAAAGAAGCCCATCGCGCAACAAATGCAACTACTACTCACCCATTGGTTTCGGGCTTGCTATCGTCCTTTGCTGGTGTGGATTCGGCCGGCTTCTGATCCGGGACGGCGCGTTCTGATTGAGGCGACGCCATGACTGCCATATGGTGGTTGAGGTAAGGGCAGATTTACTGTGCGCGACGCAACATGAAGGTAGCGACGCGCGCAGATGTCTTTTAGGTTGCGGCGATGGCGGGATGCACAACAAGGATTCGGTTGGCTAACGTCGGGGATAGCGCCTTGTTGTTGCTGACTCGAGCGGTGGTGTATGCGCAGACCAAATTCTATGACTCTGAAGTTGTCGCGCGTGAAGCAGTAGCGATCGCGTCGATGATTCGAGATACGAGAGGATGTGGCAAGGCAGGAACAGCTGGGAGCAAAGAGCCGGCGCAATTTTGGTTGTAATTAGGGAAGGTGCGTCGCGATGTTTTTCGATGCACGCGCGAGGCACGCAGGGTCGACAGAGGCGATTGCGGGAGATGGAGGTACTGAAAATATCGCGAAATATCCGAGGAAAGATTCCAGAATGCGCCGACGATGAGTGACGATGCGCAATTGATTATATGGTGGTGTCGCAAGTTGAGGTGATCGTCGGTTGCGGCGACGATGGGATGGGCGAAATGGTTAATCCGGCCGTGTCGCGTCGCGAATGGCAGGTGCGAGGTACTTTTTTGGCGATACGGGAAGGTGGAGGACCTGGGCGGAGGAAATCGCGTGCACGTCAGTGGTTTTTGGCCGAGATGGCGGCGCGTCCTATTTATGAGAAAGAACGAGCTTGGGAAGGGTGGCCCCCGGACAGCCGGTTATCTGGCCTTATCGGAGGAAGGCGCGCACTCGCGACTGGGCGACGGGTCTTGCTTCAGAAGGGGGTGCAGCCTGAAAACAGCGGCAGAAAAAAAAAAAAAATAAGAAGTAGTGGCGTAGCGTTGGGCAGGAAGCCACGGGCCAGCAACGACGAGACGACGAGAAAGAGGCGGGAAGGAAAGACCGGGGGGTTAGAGGTCAGAGAGGGAAAGAGTGAGTGAGAGACTCAGAGGGAGGAGGTGGTCAGTGCGTCTGGGTGATCGACGACTGGGGGTGTGGGTGGTTGAAGCCAGAAGGGTCAGGCAGGAAAGAGGTCCGAGTGGGAGAAAGCACGGAAGACGGGCAAGACTTGAGAAAAAAAGAGGGAAGAGATCGTGAATTTGCGAGGAAATGGTTGGAAGAGCAAGTTGAAGGAGGACGAGGGTGGACCGGGGGGAGGGGGGGCCGCAAGGTGACATAAAATGCATATTTATGCAAGTTGTGGAGGCACTAGCCAATGAGGTGCTTGTCCAGCTCCCGGATCTGGCCTAAACGCGCGAGGCTGGGAAATGTGACTGGGGGCTTGGGATGCCATGTGGACCGCGTCTGCGTGGGACGTGGGAAATATTGAATGTAAGATGCAAGACGGGAAGACGTCTCTTTCTTGTTGTGTTGACCGATAATTGAGGATATGGCGGTCGAGGACGGGGACAGTTATGAGATTCGGTACGAAGTACGTATGCATTACAAACTCACCTAAAGAAAGTTTCGAGGCGTGTTTGTGATGCTTTGCTCTTGCCTTGTATCGTTTTGTTTCCTAGCTTCTAGACATCCATTAGTGGTTAGCATCGGCATCGTAGTACAAGTACAAGTAATGCAAGCTGAGATGTGGCTGAGCTCGTCGATCGTGTAAGAGATGCGTGAGGCTGGTGGACTTTTGATGAGTGAACCAGGCCAAGGAGCGCGACACAGGCAACGCAACAAATGCCAGCCATCGCGACACCTCGAATTCCAAGCAGAAGGAGCCAGGCGGAGCGCGCGACATCAATATGTAGATTGTGCAAGAGCAAACATAGTTTCTCATTTCTGAAAGTACAATAATGGTCCATAGGTAATGGTAGACAGAGTGGTGGCAGATGAAGCCAACGCGGTCCGTCCGTCGCATCGGTAGGATAGAAAAAACGACAGTAGGGGGGATGGAAACACCGGAGGAATAGCTCGACACGTCGCGTATGCAATGCAATCAATGCAACTGGTGATACAGAGTAGTGCGAGTTTTCGTAGTGAAGTGAGGGCATGTTTGGTGGCAGTTGGGAAGAGCAGAAGAAGAATCGGCTTTGTTGGATGCGACGGAAAACAAAATCGGTACGTACCGGAATGGTCCCCAATCGAACAAGAGAAAGCTCTGAGCCAACACTGTTCGCTCCGAGGTGTCTGTGTCTCTCAAAGGTCTCGTGACAGATCAGATGACCAATGTCAGGCTTCTTTGGACTTTTTCCAGGACTTTTCTGCATCAGAAGCGCGAAATTCAGAATTCGGGGCCACTTCTTATTTGTAGGAACCCGCCAAGTCGCGCTGACCCCAGTCAGAGCTCGACAGATTACCCTTGCCAGGGCATACAACAGGGATAGCTGCAGTCTTGTGAACCAATCATGACTTGATAGTGGATCCCCATGAGACAAATATGGCATAGCACAGAGTGACGGGACCATGCCTTCCTGAGAACCGTGTCAGCCAATCAATAGCCAGCGGTCGTTGCGGCGCAAAAGCTCTCGATCGAGGGTAGCTGGACAATAGCGTCCATGCCCCCAATCACCTTCTTGTTTACTCGTGAGCTTCTCAAGTTCTGATGGTCCGGCCAGACTCTGTTGCTCTAGCTTGAGGCTTTGCACACCTTTGCGAATAGCTTCCTTCAGATTCTTGGCTTGCGCACTGTCACGTCGCCGCTTGCTTGACTCAACGTGGAACTTGCGTCGGTTCTACTAGGTAGGCGGTCGTGTTTAGACAAACAGCGTGCGGCCCAGATCCAGGCAAATGATTGAGCCGAGAGGCTATAAACAGACTGCCCTTCATAGTCAACAGTGGTCCATCGCGTCGATTAGTGTTAGTGATTTGTGCAGATGCATCTCTTGACCTCAAACTCAACCACGATGAATGGGACAGAGCCTCCACTTACATAAGCAGCTGGGATCAAGACGTCGCGGAGAATGGTCTTTCCGAAGCCGAGAATCTCGCGACTGGACCCGACATCGATGAGAACAGCCCCACCTCGACTCATTATGTCAGCGAGACCCCCCGCGGGCGGTCATGTACATCCAACCAGGAAGAAAAAAATTGGTTGGCGGCAGAAAAAAAAAGTTCAAGCAGGTCTGTCGCTGCTGGAGGAGAGGAACTCGATCACGACTTTTCCCACCTTTTTTTTTCACCACCCGATTCCTTCGAGATACCCCCCCAAAATTCCGTCACCATGTCATCAAGGCGGAGATCTTCCGGCAAATTCACGGCACCAGTCGTCAAGTCGACCCCCAAGGCTTCCAAGACCACAATTGACGAGAGCAGAGCCGCCGTCTCTGCGACAGACTCTCTGCAAGCCGCACTCAAGGGCAACGCCAACGAAGCGATTGAGATTTCTTCCGGCGAGGAGAGCGATGAGGATGTTTCAGACGAGGAAATGGAAGGCGCCGAAGTCGAGACCGGCAACGCAAAGGAAGCCGTGAACGGCACCGCCACAGAAGAAACCACCACACAAACCAAGGCCGATGCTGAGGCCGGCGCCACAGAGGAGGAAGAAGAGGCAGGGTCGCCCACCTTTGGCGAGCTGATCCGCGGCACGATCGACGTCCCCGCCATGCTCGCGCAACAAGACGACGCCAGCAGCAAGGCCCTCGTCTCGCAGTCATCAAGAAAGGGCCTCGAGCCCGTGTCGCTATCCTCTCTGAGTACCGTCCTCACCCAGGCGCTCAAGACCGACGACACCGACCTCCTCGAGAACTGCCTGCAGACCAGCCAGCCCGAAGGCATCAAGCAGACGATTGAGCGCCTCGACAGCAGCCTCGCCGGCGTCCTCCTCACCAAGCTCTCCGCCCGCTTCCACAGACGGCCCGGTCGCGCGGGCAGCCTCATGGACTGGGTCAAGTGGACGCTCATCGTACACGGCGGCGCGTTGGCGGTCCAGCCCAAAGCCCTGGAGCGGTTAGTCGCGCTACAAAAGGTCCTCAGCGAGCGCTCGCGCGGTCTGCCGAGCCTGCTCGCCCTCAAGGGCAAGCTGGACATGTTGCATGCGCAGATGGAGCTCAGGAACGGACGGACACGTGGGGGTGACGCCGCGAGACAGCTCGAAGACGCGGATGACGAGGACGATGACGAGGAGGAGGGTGCCATCTACGTCGAAGGCGAGGAGGACGCCGAGACGGTGTTGAACGGCGCAAGGAATGCGCTCCTGGGAATTGACGACGATGATGACGATGAGGTTCCTGCTGCCAACGGCTTCGTCGGCGATTCGGATGACGAAGATGACGAGGAAGAGGTTGCTGCGGCGGAGGACGAGAGCTCGGGCGAGGAGGTTATTGACGAGGACGAGGTTGATCACGACGATGTTGAAGATTCGGATGAGGACGACGACAGCGACGCGGAGGCGGCACCGCCGACAAAGGTTCAGAAAACTGCTTCTTCGTTCGCAAAGAGAAAATAAGGGGATGACTCGGTCTTCACGGGGGCGTAGAGAATGGCGGGGTAGAAACGGCACATAGACTTGGCTTGGCCGACAATTGACATAATATTGTGCAATAGGGCAGAGAATATAGACTTGGCTTGGCCGACAATTGACATAATATTGTGCAATAGGGCAGAGAATGCGTCGTCTGGAGTTCTTGGTCAATCAAAATCAATGGGTATTTGGCAAGCAGCATCTCGTGATGGTGAACCTGGTGATGTCTCCTCGACTTGTTAACGCAGAGAGAGAGGTTTAGAGATGTGAGATTCAGTAGTGCCATTGAACCTCCCATACGGTTCGTATTGTAATCACCAGAAGGGCAAAGTCGTTAATTGCTCGAAATTTCATGATTGCCAGGATCGCCAGCCATTCAGAAGACATTGCGAGTAGAAGCCATTTTCTCGGACTTCTCGCACCGATGAGACCCGGCTCACCGGCTCACCGCGGCTCCACATTCCCGCTTTGGGAAACGGAGGCACGAACCTCCATGGTCCATCTCCACCGACGATCTCCCCTACAACACCATCCCCGCCAACCAAGCGCAAGAAATGCAACCTCAATCAACCCCAATGCCAATTGAACCAGTGAGAACGAGGCACCATGAAGGGCCATCATATGTTACCCCTTCTACCCGGATGCCCGGTATCGCGGGGGTGCCGGGGGCAGCTCCCCTAGAAAGCACATAAGAAGCAGCTCTGATCCCACTTCAGGAACAATACCAGCTCGTTCTCTTGGCATCTTTTCCCAGATCGCAATCGTTAAGGCAATCTCTTCCCAAACCACGACCTCCACAATGCGCCTCCATCTAGCCTGGGCAGCAGCCCTCCTCCCAATCCTCGCAACCGCCGCCTCCCTCCAACATATCACAACCGACTTCGGCCCCAACCCCACAAACGTCTCCTTCTACCTCTACGTCCCCGACTCCCTCATCCCCAACGCGCCCCTCCTCGTCTTCCCGCACTGGTGCCACGGCAACGCGACAGACGCCTTCAACTACAAGCCCTGGCGCCCCTTGGCAGACACCCTCGGCTTCGTCACGATATACCCCTCCACGCCCCACACGGCAGACTACTGCTGGGACGTCTCCTCACCGCAGACGCTCTCGCACGACGCCGGCGGTGATTCTCTGGGAATCGTGAGCATGGTCCGCTGGACTCTCCAGAACTACGATGTCGATGCGGATCGTGTATTTGTCACCGGCGTGAGTTCCGGCGCCATGATGACCAACGTCCTCGTCGGGGCGTACCCGGACGTCTTTGCGGCGGGCTCGGCGTTCGCGGGCGTGCCGTTTGGGTGTTATGCCGCGGATGGGTTCGCCGTGTGGTCTGACGACTGCGCGAGCGGGCGGATCACGCATACCGGCGAGGAGTGGGCTGCCATTGTCGAGGCTGCGTATCCGGGGTACGCTGGGCCGAGGCCGAAGCTGCAGGTTCTGCACGGGGACGTGGATAACGTGCTGAATGTGACGAATTTCTACGAGGAGATCAAGATGTGGACTACGGTGCTCGGGACGGGGGCTACGCCGACGGAAGTTGTGGAGGATGATCCCGTTGCGGGGTGGACGAAGAGTGTGTATGGGACGAAGGGGCTGTTTGAGGCGTTTTTGGCGCATGGGATTGATCATAATATTCCGGATCAGGCGGATGAGGTTATCAGGTTCTTTGATTTGGATTGTGTTGGGGAGAACTGCTTCTCGCGCAAGTCGTTGCCTGTGTCGGGTACTTGTGCTAAGAGACGGCGCTCGTCGAAGGTTTACTAGCCTACATTGGATATCTTGGAGTGGATGGGCGAGTAAGTACCATTGAAGAAGTATTGAGCTTCAAATTTTATAAGTGCTATTCGAATACATACCGTGTGTACTTCATTGACGATTTATGCTGACAGTTACCTTAAATAGTTAGCATTGATAACTGAAGTCTGCCCTCTACGGCTACGGCCTCCCCAGAGACGAAGTCAGCTTGATATCAGAGTACACTAGCTAATTACTCATACCGGAGGCCCGATATGCAGATGGAGCAAAGTAGACTTCATAAGGTAAGGTAGCAAAAAGAGTTCACCCCCCCCGGTGCTGAACTGGGGGCTACATCTCTTGGTGCTCATGCTGGGGAATTTGGTGCTCATACTGGGATTCGAACTCGGGGACTCACTAAGCCTGTCGTCGAGTAGGCTGGTTGGCGTATAATTTGATTGTTGACCATGAAACACTCCACCACCCAGCCAGTTTGACCTGACCCGTCGACCTAGACGGGCGCCTGCTGGCTGGTGACAGGAATAGAATTGAGAGGACCTACATGGCCTTCTTCCGGCAAGTTCAGGAAGGTACGGAGTCGCCTATTCATCCAGCCTTGCCGTATTCCATGGACTATGTGAATACTTTCGAGTATACCTTTTCATTGACTACTGGGCAGATATTTACCAACAAACACCAGACTGCGTATGCCCAAAACTCTTGACATCGTTCCAAGCCGGCGCCTTCTTCGTCTCATTAAGCACAACCATGGCACAGTGCTTCGCATGTTCCCACGCGTGAACGACCATATCCGCCTTTGTCCCCAAATTCAACGCCGCAGCAGCCTGCAGCAAAAGATACATGCAGTGCGTCATGTGGTGCCCAACAGTCGTCCATGCCGGCGTCAAGATTTCAAACTCATCCAGCTCGTCGTCGGAAATCTCCGCCCCTGGTTTGCCGTCCTCGTCCCTGTAGAAGTGAAACATCGGCTCCTCCTCGCCACTGCCTAGGGCTTCAAAGACGGCTTGTCTGGCATGCTCGAAATCTTGCGTGCAGGCTGGTGGCATCCATCTGTTGTGCAGCTTGTTGAAGGCGCAGCCTCTGCGTTTGGCTTCGATAGTCGAGTTGCCGCACCAGAAGTGTCCTTGGGCGACTTCCGCCTCTTTCATCCATTTCAGGACGTTATTTTCGCCTTCTTCTGGTTGGGGGTAGTCTTGTCGACGTGGTTCTGGGGCTGAGAGTGGGAGCCAGGACAGGAGCAAGGCTAGTATGAGCACTACCGTGGCACAACGCCATCTCCAGAGGGAGGCTTTGCTTCTTCTCAACTCTTGCGCCCATGCATCTCCTGTATCCCCTTTTTCGTCAGAGTCGTCTAGTGGTATATACTGTAGGTTTTCAGACGACCACCATCGGTGTTTCTTGGTCGTGTTTTGGACGCTCTTCGGCCGCCCCTGTCCTTCGGAGGATCTTCGTCGATGCTCCTCTCCACGTAAAGGTGATTCATCCATCGTAACACGACTCGACGAGATTATTTGTTTTGTTGGGTGGGTTCCGCTCTAGATGCCTCACATATCACAATTGTGTGATCTCAAAAAAGAAACTTGGGTCGTCTTTCCTATGGGGAAAGTTCTCAGTTACTATAAATCTCTGGGTTAAGGTCGTCTGAAAGTTGACAATATCTAGATATGATAAAGTAAGTATCTTATTACCTACCTTAGGTGGGCTATCAACATGTTGAACTATTATTGTTCGTTCAATTAACTCTCGGTCCGAAGACTCTTAGTGGCCAATTCGGACCGCAGTTCTCCACTCAGGCTAAGTTGGTACCCCAGAGTTGAGGTAGTCTTATGCACGATTCAGGGATCAGGAGCGTCAGCGACAGTAAGTCGTTAACTCCGGGATGATGCAATTCTTCTGTATCTCTTATCAATAACTTCTCTCGACCATCGCACTCTCTTGCTTTTCGTTCAATATAGGGCCGTCCTCCCTCGTCAACACCATGCCACCCCTCACGTCGTTCGATCTCATTCCCTATTGTCCGAGGTCACGCGCCGACGACTGCGCAACCGATTGAGCAAGACACTTCACAGGCATTATCGCCAACCATGCTCGACAACACTACACTGTCCAGCCGACGGAGTCGATCAACGAAGGGATGCGTTACCTGCGCGCGATCCAAGGTCAAGTGCTCAGAGGACCGGCCTACATGCCAGCGATGCAGTCGCCTGCAACGACACTGCCAATGGAGGAGAGACCATGTTCCTCTCCGAGAACGAAGGCGTGGGTTTGGCCCTGTCAAATCTCGCCTTCAGTACATGCCTCCTGCAATTTTACCCTCGAAGGACACCTCCAAAAACACTGTCCAGAATAGGGTCGAAAGTGACGAAAGTCCCCTTGATTGGGGAGGGAGTCCCTCAACGACGTCGGTGAAAGAAAATGAGTCGACGATTGCGACTGATCCGGTGCTAAACCACACAGCGCACTTTGACGAACGCTTGGCCTTGGATGTTATATTTGATCTGAACACAGCGGCATCACCTCAAGCACTGCTGAGCACTCGACACATACCGTCCCGGTGCTCGATTCTCTTTGGGCCCTTGGAGCAGAACGCTCTCTATTTCTTCGAGAACGTCTTCTCAAAGTGTAGTCCTAAGACCTTCATGTGGTCCAAGTTGGCCATCCTGCTCCATCATGCCTACGACGACGCCACGGTCATGCACTTGCTGCTCGCTTCATGCCTTGGTACTGTTGCCCGGAATCACCCGGACCGTACGGTGTTGACCACGGCCAAGTCTCATTTCAGAATGGGAACCAATAGCTTTGTCGACGGAATACAAGAGCCGATGTGTGATCATACAAAGACTTTGATGGCATTTTGGCTGTCGCAACTCACGTACCGTGCGATCTGGGATGATAAATGTCGTCGGGCTATGAAGAAGCTCAGCTCTGCCGTAGCAGACTACGTCCGCAAGCATCGTCTTCTGAACCTCTTAGATTCCGGGGAGAGAACCCCTTTGGATCTTTCTGGCGGCACGTCTCCTGAAACGGAGTCCAACGTCGACTGGTTGTCTTTCAATTTGCCAATACTACCGAACAAAAGTCTTGCCGCGAGTCTCCTGCTCTTCATAGCGTACGAGGACCTGGACTCTGAATCTTGCGGCATTGGAGGCAACGTTTCTCGCCTGGTACTCTGCGGCGATGACACATCGCGCTCCCTGTTTGCCTGTTCTCGGAATGTCCACGCTGATTACTTTGGCTCATTGTATCCTTGTGAAGAGCTCATGGATGATGTAGAGCGATCAAAGCCTCTGGAGCTTCACTTTTTCGCAAACGTTTGTCTCGATCGATTGCATCGGGCCCAAGCATCCGGTATTGACGAAGACCAGCTGAATGGCATACTGACCACGCTACATCGTCTACGAGAGGTAAGATAACAGCCTTTATTTTATCACTTTACATCTTGCAGACCTCACGTTGAACTGGCCAACACATCGGCTGACTTCCGAGGATCTGTACAGGAATACTCGGCGATATTCCGCTTGGCAGAAGCCCCCAATCCAGCCGATGCAAAGTTGATCATAGCATCCTACGGCATCGTGTCCCATTTCCATGCTGTCCTCGTCAGTGCCCTGATTGCCATGGCCTCTGCTTCACCCTCCGAATCGATTCAACGAGATCTTACCGTCGCCAAAAACGATCTCCTCCGGGTTATTTTCCGGATGGTTACACAGAAGCCAGATAGACCGTTCATGTGGCGGAACCAATGGGCTGTGTTTATTATGGCGAGAGAAACAAACGACGCGATTCATCGGGATTGGTTGCTACAAAAGCTTGGTAATAGCAGCTACGCTATGCTACTGAAAGAATGCAGAGAGCGGGATTCCGATGTGTTGGCCTAGCTATCAAGTACTCTTGCTTAAACCCCGTTGCCACAAGAGCAAAGTTTCCTCACAGGTGTGCTGGTCCGAGAGAGATCCTTCGTGATAAGAGACATTTCCTCCTCGAGAGAAATCTTCAACCTCCTCTCTGCCACGGTCTCTTCGAACTCGCGTTGAACCTTGGATGCCACCTCATCGTCGGTCAAGACAGCCCATGCGGACCTCGCCAGAGCCTTGGCAATAACAAGAGTTCGCTCGTGTGCCGATTCGGCTCCGGCAGCTTCCGTGAAGCCGGCAGTGTGGTTACTCTGCCCTTCCTTAGTCTCAATCCCGTAAATTGGGTGGATGACAGGAACAACACAGCCAACGTTGCCTTGGTCGGTGGCCCCAGAGATGACCTCCTTCGTGTCCACGTTGCACCACATGGGAATGCCCAAATCTGCCGCAGCCTCGGCAAACACCAGGGAGAGCTGCTTGTTCGGGCGCAAGGGCGCGTAGAAGACATCGTACTCGACCTTCATCTCGCAGCCCGTGGCGACGGCGCCAGCGCGGTAATTCGCAATGACGCGGTCTCGCAGCTCCTTGGTCTTCTCAATAGTTGGCGCACGCACGGTATAGTCGACGGCAGCAAAGTCGGGAATGATGTTGCTCTTGACACCGGCATCCGTGAAAATACCGTGGACGGTGGAGTCCTTGGTCATCTGCTGCCTCATCATGCTGACGCCGTTGTAGCCGAGGACAGCAGCGTCGAGAGCATTCACACCCTCCCAAGGCGAGGCGGCAGCGTGCGCAGCCTTGCCCTTGAACTTGATTCTGAAGCTGGTAGCAGAGACATGATTGACAAATACGTCACCTTGTCGCCCTTCGTTACCGTAGGTAAACATTGGGGCCGGGTGAGCCATTACGCAGGCTGCGACGCCGTCGTATGCTCCTTTGCCTACGAGCATTCCCTTGCCGCAACCACCTTCCTCGGCCGGAGTGCCTAGAAGCCTCACGCGTCCAGGATTGCCGGACGCCTTCAGGGCGGCAACTGTGGCGATGAAGCCAGCTAGGGATGCGGTGGCGATGAGGTTGTGGCCGCAGGCGTGGCCGATTTCAGGGAGTGCGTCGTACTCGGCGTTGAATACGACGAGACGGCCGCCTTCCCCGTATTCGGCCTCTAGAGATGTAGGAATTCCGTATGCGTGCGGGGTGACTTTGAAACCAAGCTTCTTGAGTACTTCGACGAGAGCATCGTGCGCGTGAAATTCTTCATAGTTGAGTTCCGGATGATGAAATATCTAGAATGTCGAGCCCAGAGTCAGCAAGGACAAGTTTGTGCTTACATCCCTTGGCGGGACACAAACAACGGTGATTGGGACTATTCACGTCTAAGTCGACCTCTCTCAGCAAGGTTTTGGCATCGCTGACAGATCTGTCCATCGCATCAGCGATCTCCGGGGCAATGGTGGCCATGTTGGGGACGAATTGAGATGTTAAAGGAAGGATACGAATGTTCATGTTGGCTTGGTAGACTTGAGATGAGATAATCCTTCCTGCCGTTTGTTGAACAAAATGAACCTCATAACTTGGACATGCGGAGGAGAGGTCAGCTTTTATGGAAATTCAGGTCTGCCCAGCACAGAACTGATTTGTACGTTGCTGACCTTGATTCCTTCTCATGAGGACGCTGGAGCATGATTGCGACATGTTGCGCCTAGATTGTCGTGGGATTCGATCCCGGACGGCGATGAGATGTCGTTGATGACTGGTCAGAATTGCCGACGAAGATAATCGTTGACTCCACATTGCTCGTCAGGAGAGCTGATTGTGATACCTATGACAGCCCAGTAGCATCCCTTCGTCCCCAACAACCCCGAAGATTCGTGCCTTCCCGGCTCGGAGTGGATATTTTGATAAGAGAATCTTCTATTTTCCGCCATTAAAGAGTGATGCAACGACAAGAAGCAAGGGGCATAGTGTAAGTCATTACACGCAGAGGGCTCGGGCGCGCGACGACAGTGCATAGGATCTTGCATACTATTATTTAACCACAAGGCACGGCTCCTCTCCAACTAGGTTTACTTGGTTGATTTGCGTTGATGTAGAAATTGAGACTTTCATTCATAAATAGAAGGGAATGTCAAAAACGCCAATGCCATGCCTACATGTAAAATCAAGGCTACACCAACCAATTTTTCGCGATAATATCTTGAGCCCACATCATCAAATTTATGACTGCTGTTGAGATCTGCCAACTTTGCCAGGGACCGGCGGAAGCGGTTTCATCAGCCGTCGAGCACGCTCACTACCATCATCTTCGGCTGCGCTATACTGCGGCCCTGGAAAATAGCCTCGACCATAAGCATAGCCCCCATTCCTGGTGTCTCTCTGCTGGTCATCGAGAGCCACGACACTGCTGACATAATCGTTGTACCTATGCATGGTGGCTTCCTCTCTAGCCCTGGCTCTCTGCCGGCCCCAGACGACAAGTATGAGAAAGACGAACACTATGGCAATTAGAGAGATGCCTGCAATTGGGCCTGGACGTATGTGGGTCTTGTAATCGTCGCCAATTTCTCGTTTGGTATGGTACCTCGAGGTGATTGAGGTTATATGAGCTATTCGAATTTCGAAGGTCTTGAAGATGCTGAGAGCGGCTATTGAGTTTCCGCTTTTCGAAAGGGGATGCATTAGAACTGTCAAGTAATCTGATGATCTTCGCGCGTTGCGATATTTCGGGAATATTTTAGAGTTGTCTGATCTCGTCAAATCCAGTGTCAGCTCTTGTAGGTCTAATGGCAGCCACAGAATGTGTAATCAGCGATAGTGAAAAGATGGCGAATCTACAATACGTTTCCAAGTACAATAGACACATTTGCAGTCTAGTTCACCTTGTTGCCATTATATAATAACGCAAATGCTTTCAAGGCTGACTGTCTAACACTGGCAGACTCTGGTGAAGCTCTCGTCAATGGATTCATTGCCTCAAATCGGGCGAAATGCTCTGCCCCAGAAGGCTGAACCAAGTCAGGCAGTGGCAAAGTGTGGCCAGATGATATTGACGTTTGTTCACATTCCTCACCACTCTGATTCGTTGGGACATGCTTTGCTGCTAGGATCAGCGACCCTGTCGCCAAGCAGCAGTGCGTGCTGATGGGTCACAGCCCCTACCTCACTTACACCGCCGCAGCCACTGATTCTGCCTATTTGCTTGGCTGACTACTGTCTTTGCCCGGCAATAGTGTAATGTATATTTCGGAAATTTTTGGAATGCCGAGAAGCTTGACCCAGGGTAATCCTGTGTTGAGGAACCTGATAAGATTAAATGCAGTCCAGTACGTCATAGTGAAAGTGATGGATGGCGGCCAATTGAGATGCAGCCGATTCCTTGGATTGTTACAACAAGCAGGTATTACCGTCATAGCTTGACTACCTTGAAGTATCTACGACCTCAGTTGATTGTAAAGTCCAGTCCTCGCAACCAAGCAAACTACAGTCACTTAAGCCTTTCCTCCCCCTTGAGCTCGTGAACCAAAACGCGAGGGCCCTTTGGAATTATAAGGGGCCCGGTAATTCCCAAGACCCTCGTCCTCGCACCGCCATATCCCTCCTTGAACCTCGACACCCACGTATCCGTCGTACTGAAGAACGCGCCGTGCGTCCTCTCACTCTGGTCCCAGTACAACCTCCTGAACCAAAGGTGCAGATTCGGGTAATCGTTCCGGATTGTGCCCAAATTACACATAAAGATCGGGACATATGCAACGTCAAACCGGGCAATCGTCGGAAACAAGCGGACATCGACCTCAGTAATGTGATCGCCAGTCAGGAAAGGCCGGTCCTTGAGAATATCCTCCAAACGATCTAGCGACCTGAACAAGGCGTCGACGTTCTCTTCGTAAGCGGACTGCGTGAACGCAAACCCGCTTTTGTAAACACCGTTGTTGACCGTGTGATACACCCACTCATTGATCTCATCAATTTCCTTACGCTTCGCCTCAGAGTACAGGCCGCCACCGGGTCGACTCTCCTCGCGATCCACCTCTGGAAGGAGGTGATCGAACTCGGTGTAGAGCATACGGATAATTTCGCTAGACTCGTTGCTGACGAGAGTATGCGCCTTCTTATCCCAGAGGACAGGCACCGTGACACGGCCGTCGTAGCCGGGACTCGCTTTGAGGTAGAGCTCCTTGATCGTCATGAAACCGTAGACGGGGTCGCGCGGGAGAACGCCGAATTTGGCTGCCTCGGGGCTGTCTGTGAAGTGCCAGCCTTCTTTTCCCATGCCCATGTCGGCGATATAGAGGTCTACGACGTCCTCGAGGCGTTTGAGGGCGCGGACGATCATGACGCGGTGACACTGCGTTTTATCAGCGGGGCATTCAGGTCGACGTGCATGGGGACCTACCCAAGGACACCCGGGGCTGACGTAGAGAGCATAACGACCTTTCTCAGCTGGGAACTTTGAGTTGGCATCTTTCGTGATGAAGTTGCGGAACTGAGCCTCAGTGCGCTCGAAGCCTCCGCCTTTTCCGGGCTGGTACCGGATGGGGTCTTTCTGTAATGAAGGAGTTAACTTGAATGTTTTTGGTATTTATAGGTGTGTGCAACCGTACCTCTTCACTCATGTCAATTGTGAGTTGAGGTAGTAGCTTTATACTGTTATGATAGAAAGCAGGTCGGACCTTTGCTAGTCAATAAGTGTGCGATACCAGATGTCATATATGCTTGATGGATTGAAATAACTTGAGCCGGTGGGATTCCAACTGCACTGATATTATGTGGCGTGATGAGGGGTCTACTAATAGCGGATGGATTGCTTTGTTAGGAATCATATCAAAAGGGCAGACGTGCTTCCACAAAGGAGGTGAACATGACGTAAAAATAGACTTCTCCAGCTTCCTAGAGCGGGGAAGCTGCATCCATCCCGCGCGGTTCGGAACTCCGAGCGCTCGTGGCGCGCGCGGCCAGCAGGTGTAGTTTGGGATGAAGGCCATTTGTCAGCTTTGCGCTCACGAGTCCAAGTTTGTAAGCTCGTTGTATCGTAGGAACAATTCCTTCTCCATAGCGTCTATACCTAGTAGATCCTAGGACCCGCCATTCTTGATCTGGGCTCACTGCAAATTGATTTGGTGGCATCGACAGAGGTGTTCGAAGAAAATTACCCTCAAGTTGGTACAGTGAACTAGAAGAGATGCATTGAACTACAAGGTACAGGCAGAGGCCGACGCCTGTTACGCACCACGAGAGGAGCTAGCTTGATGGGATTAATTTTTATACTCTTTCTCTCACGAGAGAACGTAGCTATCAACTGCTAGATGGCGTCAGTGTATACATCTTCAGTCTTTCTCTATTCCTGCTCCTTCTAAAATCTATGCAGAAAACGGAGAGGGAAGAAATGGTTAAGCCATAAGGGAGCAATGCTCACAGCAACTTCTCCTCCTCATTAAGCCCAGCCTTCCAAGCCTTGTAATCAAAACCAAGCTCCTCCAACGTCGTAATCTCATGCCTCCGCTCTCCTAATTTTCTTGAAGCGATCTTGATCAGAGGGAAGCGTTCTCTCGTCCACCGCTTCTCATCATCCCAGTACGGCGGAATCTTTCCCACACCATCATTCTCCAGACCCTCCCTCTTCTCCGCCTCCAGGCTCCGCGCGTGGAGCATATTGATGTACTCCAGATCCTTGGGAAACGCCAAGTTGTGCAGCATCTTACTCTCGCCCTTGTCCTTGAGTATCCGCGCCTCCCACTCTCTCATCTCGCCGCGACTCGGCAGACGCAGACGATCCGCCCACGCGCGCGCAACATATGCCGCCTGGCCCTCCGACACGGGGAACGGCACGATGCGCTGCGGGATGCCCGCGAACGCAAGCGTCGGGTCATCAATGTAGAGGAGATGCTCGTACAGATTCCGCGCGTAGGCGCCATCCGTTACGACGGGAGGGGAGAGATCACGGAGGAAGGGGAAGCTGTAGAAGTAGCCCGTGCAGAAGACGACGCCGTCAATTTCGGATTCGGTCTCGCCGTTGGCGAAACGGACTTGTCTGTTTTCAGGGATGAATTCGAGGATCTCGGGGACGGGTTTAGCCCAGGATGAGCGGTCTTCTGCCGGGGTGTTGGGGACGGTCTTCTCGGAAACGATGATGGGGAGGGCGCAGACTGTTGAGATTTGGGCGCTTAGGTCAATGCCTGAAGCTGAGTTGCCGACAATGATGACTTTCTGTGACGAGTGTGAGTGACTGTAGTTAGGTCAAGGGGTTGCGGGTATAGTTCATCTCACTTTTCCCTTGTACTGCTCGGCATTCCTGTAGAATTTGGAGTGTGAGATTGAGTCTGGGTGTGCTTTGTCGAACTCGGCAAGGCCGGGGATGTCTGGAATGAAGGGATCATTGTAGTGTCCGCTCGCGACGAAGACAGCGTCAAATTGCGCCTTGTTGGTTTCATTTGTCTTGAGGTTCAGACTTTCAATCTCCCAATAAACTTCACTGCCACCTGAAGACTTTCTGACGGAGAGGATTTGCGTAGACAGAGAGATGATGGGCTTCAGCTCCTCGGCATAGTCTTCCAAGTACTTCTTCACTGTTTGGTGAGGAGGGAAAAGCGAGGCATCTGAGGGGAACTTTTTATCCGAGTAGTTCATGAGTGTGTGGGGGATATTCGTCTCCAAGTAATCATATACTGGAGAGACGAATTGCTTGGCATCGTGTCCCTCAACGGCAACGGCCGTATCCGGGTTCTTGGTTGGTTGTGTCCTGGGGATGCTGAAGTCACCGTCAATGACGTTCAAGGGGCTGTATGTCCAGACGCCGCCGACGGTATCCCTCTGTTCAAATATCTGGACTTTGGAGAACTTCTTCTCCGCTAGCAAGTACCTATCGGAGTGCGGATAAAGTAAGTAAGTTTGTATAAGGCATGGGACTCGTCGGCTGGGGCCGGATCGGCGGGCTTACTTTGCGGCGGATAGGCCGCACGGCCCGGCGCCGATAATGGCGACTCGGTCGATGTTGAGTTTGTCTTCAAGGTACATGGGCGACATGATGGCGGCGGAGTCTGGCCGGGTCTGGATGCGAGGAGGGGTTGTAGAGAAGCGAGAAAGCGACAGTAGGGAGGGGTATCTGGGTAGCACCACTGATGAGACTGTCGGACGATGACGATGAAAAGAAGACCCGGCTTTATGTGAAGAGTGACGAGCAACTCTGAGCGATTTGTGCTTAATGCTCCGCATGAGCATCAGGCGATTTACACTCTTGGACCTTTAGATTCCTGACGAGAGTATCCGTACAGGATTCCAGACGAACCTTGGTTCGGCGATATGCTTCTGCTGGTCGGACGAACGGCCCACTGAGTCGCAGCAAAAGCAATGACTGCCAGCGCGAGTCGGCCTTGGCCCGACCACGCCAGCGCCAGCGTGAGCGCCATTTGTGCGTATCGGGGACATGCTGGGCGGGGTGGGGGTTAGATCACAAGCGCTTGGAAGAGTCTGACAGTTTGGGATGAACATTTCTTTCCCATGTAAGTCATACACTACATAAAGTAGTTACTGTACGTATCTGACTACTGTTTCCCCAGTTTCTCGGCTCTGTCACACTGTCTTTGCTTCCAAGTTGTTGATGCTTCAGTTGAATTTCTCAGTTGCCGACTATCAAAATGTAGCAGCACACCCCAACTGCCAGCCGGCCCCTTATCTCTCACTCTCTCTTCCTCGGTTCCTCCCCCTCAGCACAAAAACAAAATTATTAGGAAATATTAACTCCGAATGACGCATCCCCGACAGCGGGTCCAGACTGGGCCGACTAAACCAGAAGAATCGCTCTAAGCAGACTCCTCATTCGTCGCCCCTGAACAGACCGCGGTAATGGCGTGCTAAACGCCCGCTTGAGTCGTGCTCTTTCACCATCGGCAACTGGCTGGTACTGTGGTACTTTGGTGCCGTATTCCTGGTGTTTCTATCCGACTTGCCGGCCGGTTCATGGTCTCCCAGTACCAGACTTAGTGACTGGATGGCTATCGGATCTGCGCGGAGAGCGACCTGGGCAGAAGAAGAGATAGTGTGTACACGTACCTAGGTACGGGTAGTGTGTAGTAAGGCAGGACAGCCTCGTTGCGACGCTGGGGAGGGGAGAGAAGAGAATTTTCACTCTTCTTCTCTTTGCAAGAAAATCAAATACCGCACGACAAACGATTGCCATCAAACTACGCGACCCGTAGCCATGGAACCGCACAGCCGCTGAAGAACTCTCTCTGCCTCTGCCCTGCAGATGACGATCCATAGAGCAAGTGAAGCAAGGTAACAACAAGCGGAGAGGTTCCCGACTCAGTTCCAGTCTCGCTTCTGTTCGAAAAAGGATCCCCCATCCCACACTCCCACTCCCAGCCGACCAACCGGTTGTGTATGCGACGTGTCCAGCGAAGAAACGCCCCCCAAAAGTCCAGTCTCCGACAGCCCCGACACGAAACGGGCGCTCACGTCGGCGTCTCGCCGTCGCCCAGTCCCCCTATCCCATTTGGCATTGCCGCACCGTCGCAATGTCGCCCGAACACATCAGATCAAACATTCATCGCTTTCGCGTTCGACAGACATCCCCATCCTCGCCAGCCCTGCGCCGCTCGGCCTCTCCTCCCGCCGTACGCCCTCCACTGCCGCCCCAGACACCGTCCTCAGCAGTCCACCCGGGACCTCCGGATGCCGCCGCCGATGTCTCATCGTCAGCAGTAGCAGCAGCAGCCGTCGCGGCGTCAGTCTCGGGCTCGACCCCAGCGCCGCCGTCAGGTCCAATCTCACCGGCACTGACAGGTCAAAGTCCTACCGCAGTTGCAGCTGCTGCCAACATCTCCACCTCCGGAGCAGCATCGGCATCAGCAGTAGTAGCAGCATCAGGAGCGGCGCCGTCATCCATCTCGGCATCGTCGCCGAAGGCCGCACGCGACATCCCCGCCTGTGATCGCTGCCGCAGCTTCAAGAAGAAGTGCAGTCGCACTTTTCCCATCTGCACTCTATGTGCCAACGCGGGACACAAGTGTTCTTTCTCCACTCCCGCCGCCTCCACAGCTGCCCAGACGCACCATCTGCGCGCTCGGATAGAATGGCTCTCGCGCTTCATCAACGAGAACTTGCCCGTCGCCGGCGCCCCTGGCGTAGAGACTCTTGACACGGGCACAGACATTGCCTCCGTGTTGGGATCCTCGCCGGCGGCTACTACGACCACAGCCGTGGGCCAAGCGATGGAGATTCTTCCGGCTACGCCAGCGGCGAATGGAGCCACGCCCGGGTCTATTATCAGTGCAGAGAGTAACCGCGTGGAACCGCGGGACACATTTGCCGTGCATCAGCAACCGCTTGGCGCATCGGGCCCGATCCTCTTTGATCAAAGAAGTCTCGCGGTGAACGTAGACACGGAATCATCGTCGTCACGGGGCCATGATCACATGCGAGCTCTGCTCCAGCCAGCGCCAGAGCCCGGAAGGATCCTCGGCATCGAGAGCCTTCGCGATGGAGAAGGCTTCACATCCTCGAGCCTGCCTCGCGACGCTATTGCGAGGAGGTTCGTCGATGCCTACTTCCGGAATGTCAATCGGGCGTACCCATTCGTCAATAGGACAAAGGTCTTGCGAGACCTCGAGTCACTAGGCGAATCTTCTAAGCGGCGAAGAGATGCCGACTCTACGCTGCTCTATCTTATCATGGCGATTGGATGCACAACCTTGCAGCGCGCCGGCCAAATACCCAACGACACGGCCTCCAAGTTCGACGTAGCCTACGCCGACATCATTCAGGAGTGTCTCGTCAGAGAAGACCTCGAGTCGATCCAGATCCTCGTCTTGGTGGCACTGTATTCACTCTTCGACCCAAAGGGCATTTCAACGTGGTCTATAGCAGGCATCGTCTCCCGCCAAGCCATGCTCCTCGGATTGAGCAGGAGATCCTCCGAAGACAAGAATCTCTCCGCCATGGACATTGAGCTACGCCATCGCTTATTCTGGAGCATCTACGTCTTGGACCGGATGATGGCCATCTCTCTAGGTCTCCCTGTAGCCCTCATTGACGAAAACGTTGACGTCCCGCTGCCAGGCCTTACCATCGAAGAGTTTGCCTCCCCAGACCGTCAACACTTCGCTTCCATCCTCCAGACAAATCGCCACGTCATCCAGCTCAGGCAGCTTGAAGACCGCATCCTCAAGCAGATCCACACTCGCAAACAACACGAGGTCGCCGCACTCTCGCAAGCAGACAGGCGCGCCATAGTGCAGAACATCCGCTCCGAGATTGAAAACTGGTACAGCAACGGGTGCCTCGTCTCCCCACTGGAACCGGACAACGTCCCCATCCACAACTCAGTCACCTGGCTCAGCGCGCGGTACTACCACCTTCTCCTCCTCCTCCACTATCCCTGCCACTTCAACTCGTGCGGCACCATCGTCTCCGCCGTCGAGCTGCTGCGCTTCGCCCAAAAACACCTTCAGTCAACCTCGGTCCTCCTCCAGCAGCGCCAGCTCCCCTTGAACCGGGTCACCCTGTGCCGCCTCTTCCCCGTCGGTCTGGTCTTGATCCACAGCTTCATCGCCTGCGCCGCAGAATGCACATCCTTCTCCGCCCGCGACGAGGTCGCCGTCATCGTCAGCATCCTCGAGGCCTTCCCCGAGGGCTGGAACCAGGCGCGCCAAGCCGCCCAAGTCTTTCGGCAGTTCATGGGCCTCATCTCAGGGGTGCCCAACAACGGCTACACGACTCTACATTTTCCCGGGAACAACAATGTGTACGGCGGCGGTGGCGGCAGCGGCCAGTTCTCGTCTAGAGAATCCTACCAGGCGATGGTGCGGCCACTCATCACGCGGCTCGTCGCGTTGATGCAGGAGGTCCTCGGTCGGTCGACGTGTTATGCTTTTCACGAGTTCCCGGACGATTGTGGCGGGCAGGCTTCGGCGCCAGCGGGGTTCAGGGGTCAGACTGCGTTTTCGCCCACGGGGCCTACGCGCCATTCGGCAGCGGTAGGGAATGATGAATCGGCCATGGACTATGGCTGGGGGTCATTGGAACTGGGATTTCTCTGATACGATCCTGTCTTGTAGCCGGCTGCTTGTTTTACTTTCATTAGTACCTAGATACCTTAATGTGTTAGAGCGACGATGCAAGTTCGATTTCATCGGCATCTTTGATCCTGAATTCACGTTCGGCTATTCTGGCATGGTCCTTTGGCTTCCAAATTGGATGTTGCCTGGGCTTCTTTGGGTCATTCCTCATGAATAGAACGACTTCTTGTTCCGCATCCAACCCGTGGAGTATCCACCGCTAGGCAAGGGGGCCTTGCTGGGCCAGTAGAACGGAGCAGCCCGTCAAGTTCCCGGAGCTTGTAAGCGTTGGGTGGTAGTAGGGAGAAACCCAAGAACGCTCTGAGCGAGGGGGCCAGGGAGTAAGTCTTGTACGGAGTATCAAAACGCCGTTACGGTCATTCTTGATCCAACCTAAGTATTGATGGCGTCGAAAACAGCCTGAAGCCCCTCAAAATCATTTCGAAAATGTACGAATAGCCTTGACATTTCTTACCTATCTACACTAGCGCGTCCGATCTACTTAGCAACTAGACCGCATCCCCTTCTCGGCAATCATCCCCATAAAGTTGAGCTCCGCCTCCATGGCCTTGGTGCCCGCACCCATGGGGCTAGCCGTCGGGTACAGAGCTTCGAGTTGCACCTCCTTAGTATGGATCTTGGGCTCCTCTTTGCTGCCCACCATCATGATTTCGAGCACGTTGCCGTTGCCATACTGCTCCTCCGTCAACAGCGAGAACATTGCGTTGGCAAGGTCCTCGGACGATAGGGCAAGATCTTCAGCCGGCAACCGGTCGCGGCAGAATTCTTGATCAAAGAGGGGCGTCTGCTCTTATGTCAGCCTCTGTTATGTGAGCAGACTCGTGGACTTCCAACATTCACGTACCCTCGTAGGTCCAGGACAGATAACAGAGTTCCTGATCCCCACCAACTTCTTTAATCCCTGAAGCGACTTGACGACACTGAGAACAGCCGCCTTGCTAGCAAAGTAAAACGGCGTCTGGATGGAGTGGATGTAGCCGCCCATACTCGACACCCAAAGCAGATTCCCCTTGACCTCGCGGTTCTGAAGCCAGTAGTCGATAGCGATTTGCGCCAACCGGATGGGGCCGATGGTATTCACGTTGAAGATGTGGTATGATCCCACCTCAGCGTCCGCATCATCCTTTGATTCAGGCGAGACGCCGGGAGGGTTCCAGAAGGACGACCAGGGCGGCTCAAAGATGCCGGCGTTATTAACGACGATGTCGACCCGGCCAAACTTTTCGAGGGTTGCCGCCCAGAGAGATTTGAGTTGGGCCCAGTTTGTCGTGTCTGTCTTGTGGAAGGCGGCTGAGGGCTTGTCTGCGGATGGAGACGGATGGGGGAAGTTTGCGATGGTGGTCTCGGCTTCTGGGCGGAGGGCGAGGTCTGCGATCATTACCGAGCAGCCTTCATTGAGAAGGCGCTGGGTGATGGCTAGACCGATGCCTAGAAGAATTATGAATATCGTGTTAGCCGGCGATTGAGATATCTTCGATCAATACCCAAGGGTGTCGTCATTGAAGGTCATGTAGAGATGGAGACCAATCACTTACCAGATCCAGCCCCGGTAACCAGGGCTACCTTTCCCTTGACCTCGTATTCGATAGTCATGGTAAGTGATCAAAGTGCGAGCTTGATGGTAGAGATTCTAGGTGTAGTTCTGACTCGCTTGCGCTGTTGATAAATCAGAATTTCACAATGATATGCTCCTTGGCACAAAAGTCGGGTTCAAAGATCAGGAAAAAGGAAGAAAAAAGGGGTTCAATTACATGACTTGCTAGGTGACATCAAACTCGTTGCCGGATGGTCTTATAGGATGAGGATCTTCGCTCAGGGGCCCTTTTTCAGATATCCTCAGGAAGGTCAAGACGGACGGACTTTTCAGAAGGATGGGCGGTCAACGACCAGGACCCCGTCTCTAGTTATCTTCAAGACGACAACTTGCTTTAACCCCGCGTTCCTGCATACATCCCCGGCTCAGCTGTCAACGGGGGTGATGCGGGCGGATGCTGGGTCAGACCATCCGTGGGCCGCGTATCCATCCTGTTGGGCTTCGAATGCCCAGGCACTTCGACTCGCATAACTTATACATGCATAGTGGATAGTTCAAAGTCGGAAACAATCGCAATCGGGAAGATTAGACAAAGCCCATAATCCATGAACTTTGACGGATAATGATTTAACAAGACAATACACCTTCAACACCTTGACTGGAATTTCAGAATGCATTATATGTAAGAACGAAGAAATGTGCTATCTACTCCGTACGGGCGGAGTAGTCCCCCTCGCTCCCTGCTGCCGACTTGCCAAGATACTGTTGGTGCTGGGTTTCCATATGCAACCTTTCGCTTTGACGTCTCCCATCCCCATGCCATATGTCCAGGGCCCCTGTCAAATACCGCATCCTATCACACAACCAACATCCCACACTGGTGCATCTACCGGGGTATTCCAATCAGTCTAATTCTCCAACAGACTTTTTTGATTGAACCCGAGCTTAACGTATTCGTACCTGACGCGGTTCGCAGCCGAATCAGGCAAACGCACATGGGAAGACGCTCCTTCGAGTCCATGCCAGGGATGTCAGGGACCCAGGTGCGTTAGAGAACTTTGGTCCTCCCATGGTCCATGAGGGACCACGCACATCACCTCCGCTTCATTAGCAAGGTTTGCTGTCTGTACATTTTCTCCGAAACCCTCTTCACTACTAGTAGTGTGTTCGCAGAATGTACGGATAGAATTCGAAGTCGATTCCTTTTCGAGACTCGTCCCAAGACTATTCCTTCCTTTCCGGCTCAGCTACTACGGAATCGACGGAGAGGAAGTGCCATGTCGAATCTGGCCGGAGACGATACGTGGCAGGCCGTTGAGCCTCAGGGGCTCGCATTGGGGCTTTTAGTCACTACCGTCACGTTGGCGATTCTGACAACCATCGTCATGGCCATGCGCATGTTCATTCGATTCAAGACGAACAAAATCGGTTCTGACGACTGGGCTATGTTGACAGGATTCGTAGGTCGACTATGTTCTGGTCCGCGGAAAAGGAGCTAACTGCAAGACCGTTTGTTTAGTCTGCCAACTTGGGCCAATCCGCTGTTGCGATCTACGGGTCTTTTACTGGCATAGCGAGCAAAGATGAGACCATGAATCGAGCGACGAGTATAGAGGGCTACAAGGTACGTTGTGATGGCATTGGACAGACCTACTACATACAAATTAGTAGGCCTATAGTTGCTAATTCTATGCGGTCAACGAAAACTAGACACTCTTGATCTGGCAAGCTTTTTACGCTGGGAGCTTGTGCTTCATCAAGTCCAGCATCTGCATCACCCTAATGCGTATCACAAATCAGAAGGTCTATCTCTGGATCCTGAGAGGATTGATAGGCCTCTCCTTTTTGATGAGCGGTTCCGGCCTAATCGTCATCTTGAATCAATGCCACCCTCTCGACAGGTACTGGGACAAGAGTATACCGGGAACTTGCTGGCCACCAATCGTGGCCACCGCGCTTTCGTACGGGGCATCCGTTGCCAACGTCATCACCGACTTCAGCGTTGCGGCAATTCCGTTCTTTCTGCTTCGACATGTGCAGATGCGATCCCGACTTAAGTTCTACGTGCGACTCATTCTGGGACTGGGTCTCTTGTAAATGACATTCTGAGATCTCTGCTAAACCCAGGAGATTGTATACATGAGGCTTTGACTAACTAATTTGTTGGTAGAGCTGGCATCGCGAGTATTATCCGAGTACCCTTCACGAATGCGTACATGAAAGCGAGCGACGTTCTGTGTAAGAAGACCCGCGCATCCCGATTGTTTCGCTACAATCCGTACAAGGCAGCACACTGACATTCCTGCAACTGTGTAGACCACGCAGGTAACATAGTTCTCTGGACGATTGTCGAATGCGGCCTAGGCATCATTGCTGGCTCGCTACCAATGCTACGAGCCTTCTTCAAACGGTTGGCCAAGGACACCAGCACGCAGGAACCCTACAACCGTTCAGGCGACACAAACCTCGTGACCTTTGGGCAGGGAAAGGGACGACAGGGTCCGATATACGAAACGGACCTAGGGGTGACGGTGATTGGGGGAGCGGGGGATAATGACAGCAACAACAGCAACCATGACGACGACGCGGAGAGCACACGGCGAATCATCAAGGTAACAAGAGAAGTACGGCACAGCGTTACTGAAGAGAACAGAAACATGCCGGCGAAAAGTTGACGTATGATTCATAATAACACTAGCGTCTATGGAGAAAGAGTTGCATGTACCCAAGTAACATTAACTCATTTACCTTGTGAGATGGAGGATGTTCCGAACTTCCGATAGAAGTGCATCGTGGTCCTTCAAGTCATAAGGCGTGCTTTCATTGCCAATGGTATTCGTATGGAACTTATCGGAGAACCGCAGCGCCATACCAATAGGCAGCCAAAGCAGCTTGATAATAATATTCAGTCTAGATGTCCAAGTGCTTGCGAATCTCTCCCAGGACCATTTCTGGCTTTTCGGCATGAACACCATGATTAGCGCCCTCAACCAACAAAAGTCTAGCTCCAGAGATTCTTTCAGCAATCAACTTGGAGTTTTCTGCGACGTTTCGTTGTTAGCGTAGACCAAGTTACTCGACAATTTTGGCATAGGTCTTACCAGGAGGACATATCCAATCCTTGTCGCCCACGACTACCAGAGTCTTCGCTGTAATCTGAGAGAGTTGTTCGGTGTAATCAAAGTATTTCTCTTTCTCGGAGTAGAGATCATCTGAGTTGATTGTCACTTAGTCTGGACATTTCACAAATTCACTCGGTTGAAGTTCACTTACTGTGAGACTCAGCGACGTAAACACCATCGAGGTTGCTCTTCAACGCTGCATCGGGGTCGAAAGTTTCTCTGTACAGAGGCATCATGGCGAAGTAAACCAACTGGAACTCGCGGTCGCTCTCATATGCACCAAAGACCTTGTTCTTTAACATGTCGACAGAGAAGCTAGGAACTTTGTGTATCCTCGCCTCCAGAGTCTTGATGGCGCCGGCCTCGTCTGGTGGTGATGTTGTCAACGCTTAGCCCTCCCAAAGCTCGTGTAGGTTGCACAACTCACGGTGATGAGATGACGCGGTCCCTCTGAGAATCAGATGCGACACTTTCGGAGCGTACTTGATGGCATAGTGCTGTGCTAGGAAACCGCCGAAACTACCGCCGCAGATGATGACCTGATCATTTCCGATGAAATGCTGTCTTACCGCTTCGATGTCATCAACAATTTGCTCAAAGGTGTAAGGCTTAGTCAAAGAACTTTGGCCATGTCCGCGGTAATCGAAGGAAAGAACTCGAATCTTATCGCTTAACTGGCTGTAGACTTTGAAGTCGGATTTATGATCACCTAGATAATGCCAACCTTGGTCAGCAAGCTCGTATTGTCAAGCTGGACTTTCAATCAGTGTACCCATTCCGCGACCGCCATGTAGCGTGATCATGAGCGGTGCACCTTCAGGCCCAGCTATGCGGTATGCCAGGCGGGCGCCATTGATATTCACAAAGTCAACCATCTTGTCTTGAGCACCGAGTCAGTAGTTTCAAAACAGCGCTGGCAAGTCAAGGAGCCATCAAAAATATTCAAAGTTCACGGACAAGGTAGCAGCATGAACTTTGACTATGTGCTTGATAGCTACTATCACGTTAGATCAGCCCAGCGTTGAGGACTTCTGGTAAGGCGCCGTTCCGTTATCCAAAGGGCGTATTGCATAAGAAGCCGAAGAAGCGGGGAGTAATCCAGCGAGCCGAAGCGAGGGCGGCCTTTGCTTGGCGTGCGAGTAAGGAGCCACTAAGCACCGGAACTAGCCCGACAGAAACTTCCAAAAGGGGTAAAGACACAAGGCCCCTCCCCGATACCACATCGGAAGGAAAAAAGATTTTGTTCCTCGATGGCGCTTTGTTCGCCGCCAATAGTGAGTCGGTGACGGGACAGTCTTGGTCAAGCCGGCTTGAAGAAACGACTGCCGATGTCGTGCTCGACCCAGTAAAAATCGTTATCAAGTCACTTTTTCGTACCATCGACCGCTTCTCTAGTGTATCGAGGGAGGGATATGCTATGATAAAGAATCTTCTGCCCAGGTTCAATCTTCACTTTGCTCAGGGACGCTCCATCTGCTGGGCCTAGATCGCCGACCGTGGGCTCTTCTGAAGTTTTCTTTTGATCGTGCGACGAGATCAGAGTTAGTGATTGCTGCAACTCAAACCAGGATGGCGCCGCATCTTGATACCAACGCGGCCAATGCCATTAAGGCAGTCGACCCAACCAACCGGAGCCAAGACAAGGACGGCATTTCGACAACCTCCGTCGTTGCCGAGACCGATACCAAGCCGGAGTCCCCACAGCAACCTGAAGTCGCCGGATGGTTCCACTGGCACGAGCCCGGCACATCGCCGGAGGAGAAGAAGTTGATCTTCAAGTTGGATTGGTTTCTACTTTCATTCTCGTGTCTCATGTTCTTTATCAAACAGGTAAATGCACCTATCTCCAAGCGTTGCGTTCAGCCGGCGTGCTTACTCCAGTGCTCTTCTTTAGCTTGACCAAAACAACATCTCCAATGCCTACGTATCCGGCATGTCGGAAGAGCTCAACTTCGGTCCCGGCAACGAACTGTCCTGGATGAACACGTACTTCAACATTGGAACCATCATTGGCGGTTCTTTTGCCAACCTAATCATCACTATCGTCCGACCGCGCTTCTGGCTGACCGGGTGCCTCTGCACCTGGTCTCTCTTCGTGCTTTTCCTGTTCAAATGCCAGACCGCCACGCAGTTCTATGTCCTGCGTTTCTTCATCGGCTTGTTTGAATCTGCCGCCTGGCCTGGCGTCATGTACGTCCTCGGATCATGGTACCGCAAAAGCGAATTGTCCCGTCGCTCCGGCCTTTTCGTCATGAGTGGTGTCTTGGGGCAGATGTTTTCCGGCTATCTTCAGTCTGCCTTGTATTCGGGTATGGGCGGAAAGGGTGGTCTGTCAGCGTGGCGATGGCTTTTTGTCTTTGACTTCATTCTTGCCATTCCCGTGGTGATCTATGGCGTCGTAAGTACCTCTCTTCCATATTATGTGACTTCCAAAGAACATCTCATCCTTCTAACATCATTGTCAGATTTGTTTCCCCGATACCCCTCACACGACAAAGGCTTTTTACCTCAGCGACTGGGAAAAGCAACGTGCCCGTGAGCGGATTGAAGAAGAGGGCCGCAAACCTGTCGGCAAGATGAACTGGTCCGTCATCACCCGCGTCTTCGGCTCGTGGCAAGTCTACGCCTTTACAGCAGCCTACTCCTTCTGGACTCTGACCTGCGGCTCCTACATCATTCAATACTTCACTCTGTACCTCAAGTCAACAAAGATGTACACCGTACCGGAGATCAACAACATCCCAACCTGCGTCGGCGCCATCAACTTTGTGTTCATGGTCTCCACAGGCTACGTCTCTGACAAGATTGGGCGGCGCGGACCTGTCTGTTTTGCCGTCGGGTGTCTTCTGACGTTCGTCTACGCCGTTCTCGCGGCATGGAGCGTGCCACATATGCTACGCATGGCCGTCTTCATCCTTGCAGGGTGCTACGGTTGCTACACGCCTTTGTTGGCTGGATGGGCGAATGAGGCATGCGGTGGCGATCAGCAGAAGCGCGCCTTTGTGCTTGGCTTCATGGTCTCAGTCGGCCAGGCTGTTGTGATTCCCTTCCAGCAACTGCAGATGCCGAGCGGACAGGCCCCTGCATTTGCCAAGACACATGGGTGGAAGAGCGCGCTTGCATTTGTGGTGGCGTTGACTGTTTGGACTGGTGTCGGTCTACCGTTACTTCAGAGATGGAGAGAGTCTCGTGTGAAGTTCAGCACTCATGAAAGTGACAGTGATGAGGCTTGATTGCCCATTACAATGTAGGGTCAAAGGACGGAGGACACAAAGTCCAGCGCAGTCTTTTAAAGCGATTATGTGAGTATTATTAGGGTAATGAGTGGCGGTATGTCTACAAATAGACACAACTAGATTGATGTTATTTCGCGATGGTGGATCTCATGGGGTATCAATTTGGGAGTTTGAAGTAAGAACCAGTGTCATTGACTAGGTAGGTGTATTCAATACAAGAAGGTTAAAGCCATACTGTGAAGAAAGGAAAGTTCCAGACATCCAATCGTGTATCCATGCCACAAATCCAGGGCTCCCTTCAAGCATCTACAAGTAGATGCTCCTTCTATCAAGACGTACATGCCTCACTAGTGTTGCACTTAAGCGAGAGCACCCTTCAGGAAGGTGCCCGCGGTGTTGACATCGGCGCCATATCCAATGTGGCCAGAGGCGCTTTGGCTTGAGCAGCTTCCGGAGCTGGCGCAGCCACCAGCGGAGCAGACGCCGTCGCCAGCAGCGCAAAAGCTCCTGAACTGAGCGGTAGCAACACCAGTGACAGCTTGGCCCTTGAACGGGTCACCGAAGGTGACGGCCGCAGCGACCGCCTTGCCCGAGAGCTTCTTAGCGGCGTTGTGGACGACCATACCGCCCTGGCTGTAGCCAGTGAGGACGATCTTGGTCTGGGGGCACTTGCTCAGCCACGAGTTGGCCTGGTTAGCCATGGCGACACTACCCGGGCCGGAGCCAGTTGCCTCGGACATAATGCCCGCCATGTCAGCTGCGTAAGTTGTGCCCTCGAAGACGGAGTCGGGGACGTTGGACGCAACGGCCTTTTGGAGACCGGGGCCGACAACGGTTCCGAGGGTGCCCATCTCGGTGGTGCCGCGGGCGAAGAGGACGGTGTAGGCCTTGCAGCCCGAGGTCTGGCGGATCTCAACGGGGCTAGCGGCCGCGAGGGCGGCGAAGAGGATGGTGGTGATGGCAGCAGTCTTCATTTTGAAGTAGTTGATTTGGTTGTTTGTGGTGGTTTTTGAAAGGAATGTCTTGTCAAAAGAGCGAAGTCTGGTATGGCGACGGTTGAAAGAGTGTGCGCTGCACTTGGTTGGCAGATGTGTGACTGAAGAAAAGCGAAAGTGAGAAGTCGTGAAGGGACTGGATGGTTCTTGATGTTCCTACTGATTCTTCAACATGACTCCTGATTCCCAGTGATATCTCATGCTCTTATACCTCGAGGCCTGTCAGCCCAACTCCCGAAGCTCGAAGTCTTCACATCTCGATAGGAGGACCAGGGATAGCCTCAAAGGAACCACGATGTCATCCCAAGTTTGAGGCGATGGAGCCTAGTTCGTCCAAAAACGATGTTTCTTGCGATTCCCCCGTTTCATACTGATTGGTGGCTTCGTCCGTAGACACCAATGTCTCAACCTGTCGTTCGCAATCAAAAAAATCGGGAAGCATCTGTGCGGATTGACACGGCACTCCCGTCGAGGATCAATGCGGCGTGACACTGGTCTCTCTGCGGCAATACCACCGGGCAGAAGACCGTGCATAATGTTCTGTTCCTGTTGGAATGCAGGCATCCTGACTTGCCTGACCTGCTTCGGAGCGCTTGGACTTGGCCATCACACCTGTCAGACCCAGTTGATTGGTTCTTAGTTGGTCTGCCTAGTCGCACCATTTCACGGGGTTTAGGAGATACTTCCCATTTCTCATTATGCGCGTCGTTTCTTCTCCAACACCCATGAGCTCACAAACGGGCGATGTGGGCACAACTACCACACCGTTGTCTTGGCCATGAAGACAAAACAGGGAGGTTTCCCTTCATCATACCCCACAGTAAAGCTGTTCGCTCCGAACTAACCGACTATTGATCAGAAGACTGGAGATCTTCGAAAGGGAACAATTGATTGGATTGTTCTGGACCGAGGCTCTGAAGCCTTAGTGCGCCGCTCGGTCGGTAAGGAGGATGCCGGGAATGATCCTCCTTGAAGGAAGATCACGGATTAAGTGGGCGCGTGGGCGCCAATCGCATCTCATCTTCCTCGACATCAGGCTTAAAAAGTTCCGAAACAAGGATATCCATCTTTGATGTACTCGATGAATTCGCAACTTGATTTACATACTACATACTTCGATTATGTGCATTTGATGCGCACATCAGATTTCGTGTGCAGACACGAGCAAGTTTGTGGATGCAGCGGCCGTGATGACAACATATTGAAGTGTTAAAACAATATGAACCATATAGGTTGCGATGTAATATTCGAATGGACTAGAACGTTCATATTGTCATATTGGCATCGGTCGGCATAAAGAAGACGTCGATCCAAGGCCCGGCAGATAAGCATACAACCCACCGCAACTTATTGATCCTCTTATTTGCAGGGGTAAGTCAAGCTATTCAGGGTCATCTCCGTCGATGGACACCTGAAGAAACACGCTGGTGGCCTTGAACTATTTCTAGTCATCTCCGTGCCTGATTTTATGATGATGAGCCATTGAAAGATCACGAGAGCGGGTTATGGATCAATCAGCTAGAAGTAGCTTGATCGTCCTCGCCACTGTCCCTGCAACCCCTCACATCGTATTTTCGCACCAAGTCATGTTGAAGTTAACCTTGCCGAATTCAATCTCTCCATAGACCCCGCAGCTTCAAGGAAACTGCTCAGGCTCCCCAACACTGTGACAGCCTTATGTTATAGGCATGTTCGCGATGCCTAGAGCAAGCTCAAACATCTCCAGCAGAATGGAAGCTACTAGTACCAACAAAAGAAGCGACTTTCGCCCTGTTTGACTCAGAATAATATCATTCACCCTAAAATTCAGCCTACCCAGTCCAAGCAAGGCAAAACTTCCGAGTACGTCAAACATCGATACGACCTTCCCTTTCATTAGAAAGTCATGCTTCGACTGGATCGAAGCCATGGATGCTGCCTACTCCGTCATCTACCTCGGCTCATCGCAGTAGAGACACGCCTTTCTGTGGACCACCACAGTCAAGAAGATCGATCCAGACATTCTTCATGGAGGGAAGAAGCCTGCAAGCTACCTGCAACATATTGACGTGCGCCCAACCCGCAGGCCCAAATTCAAAGTTCTTGACTCACTCGTAAATTGCAAAGGGGCCCAGATAAGAGGGCAGATTCCTGCCCAATACTATCGCAGTGCTTGAAGAAGCACGTTGCAGCACAATGTCTTGGTCACATGCTCCCATCAAATCACATAAGTCGCCCGCCGTTCTTCATCTAAGCACCGCCAAGCTCTACATGAAGCGTGGCGTGGGCAGCATTTTAACGAGTATTTTGCTTTTTCTACGCCCCGTAGTCAGATTTCCACATGCCGAGAGCCGGAGAGAATGAAAGGGGGGTTCGTTGTTGGTCTGCAGAGCCGTTTGGACCACCTGAAAAAAGCAAGAATAAGACTGCTTGTGGGACGAGGCCAGGTTCTGGATTCCCACATTATCCGAGCCCAATCCCAGAGCGTTCGCCCCCAATGCTCTCCCACCATCTTCTCGCAAACTTGGCAACCGAAACTTGTCCCTTTGAAAAGACTCAGAGAGACACACACCCGTTCGCGCTGTTCTCGACAAAGATGCCACCCAGTATTTGTCCCTCATTCAGATTGCTTTCCTGGAATCCATCGTTCACAACCGTCTTGGTTTCGGTGGGTTTCTTGAGCAAGCCGATCTGGAGCGCACCTCCGCCCACGTTGTTGTTGGGGAGGACCTCCGTGACGGACTTGAGTGGATCGTTTCCTTCCGAGAAGAAGACTTGAATCGTGCTGATGAATCATTAGATACCGGAAACCTCCGTCGCCTGCTCCCTTACGACGCGATGGGGATATGACTTACTTTTTGGGCACGTCGAGGGTGACGGCCCAGTTTTGCCAGACATCAAACTTGAGTGCCGTCGAGAAGATGACGCTGTTGTTTCTGTCCAGCATCTTCCAGTCGGTTGACAAGGGCTTGCCCGCCGTACTGTTCTGCCCGAGGGGCGTGCCAATCTGCAGGGCGAATTGCGCACCGCCGGAGTCGTTCGTCTCGTGGAAGGACGTCAGGTACTCGTGCGTCAAGTTCAGCTTTCTGGTCGAATCCTGCATGGAACTCCAGTGTGTCGTCATGACCCCTTGATTGGAGGCATCGGAGCCGTTGCCAAGCAGCAGTCCGGCGCGACGAAAGCCTAGCTGCGGGCTGTTGCCGCTAGGATTGAAGATGGACTGGTCATTGATGGTGACTTCGAGAGGCTTGAAGTTCCCAGTCGCGTTAGAGGTGTCGAATCGCGAGGGTGTCGGAACGGTGGGAAACAAGAGAATTTCGGACCACTTCGCAGGGCCCTTTGTGTATCCCGGGTTGAACGGGCTTGCGTAGGTGTCGAAGACTTGCAAGGTGAAATTTTGTGGGATTCGCCCATCCAGAACAACCGGGCACTTGACGGGCGAATCGAGAGATGCGCGGGGCGCATTCAGCGAAAGTGCTTGAAGAGAACGGACAGCTGCGTGTGGCAGAATCATTTTGAATGGTCTGAAAACAAAAGAGTGACTAATTTGCTATTGAGAAGAAGCGAATGACGACCGGACCTGCGAGAATCTATCCTACAGAGACTTTGATCATTTTTTCGTGGTTTGAGGTGAAGTTATACGGACCAGTACTCGGTTTTACCCCACTCATCTGATACTCAACTTAATTGTGATAGATAAAGGGGAGAAAGCTTATTTCGCATCATTTGAAGATCATGCTGAGGATGCTGCGCATGCGCAGGAGCCGCAGCCGTTGAACTTTGCTTGTTTCCAGCTCTTTGGCAGAGGTTGATGGCGGGGCTAAGGACTGTCCCTAATCCCCCGGCGGACTACTCCGTATTGAAGCGCAGGAGGAAAGTCATTTTTCTCTTGGCAGATGCTCCCGAGTCATGGGTTCAGGGGTCATGGGCAGAAAGGGCAGAAAGTTCGGCATCGTGATGTTACCGTCACCGTTGACCCAGGCGGTACGGTCCGAGCTTTCAATCTACACGATGGAGTCGCCTACTGGATCCAGTAGTCAAAGCCACCAGGCAGCAAAGCATTTCATCGCTTCAGATCAGCCCTTCAATGAAGCATGTGCTGTGGCCCCTTTCTTCTGCGACTGGCTCTATGTTCTAGTACTGATGATAGGGCTATGGTAACATGGATAGAATCAATTCCAAGGCAAAATGCCCACTTCACAAGACGAAACTGCTGTCAAGGTCCACCTGGCACGACCGTTATGTTGAACCCATCTTTAACGACATGCTGCTTCCAACCTAAGAAGACTGATTTGCCAGTAAGCGGCCCGATCATTTTCGTGTAAGCAGTGGTAAGACCCGATTTGAGCATACTCTGCTAAGCACATAGCGATTATGTGCGACTCTATAAACAAACACCACTCCGTAAGGGACAAGGAATTGAATAGGAAATTATACTCAAGCGTTGGCCAGAGACCTCTGATGGAATGATACGACATGGAAATTGAAATCTGGCCGAATCTCAACAACCTCAACATGACACCATTCGAGCGAATAGTCTCCAGTCACATGGTTTCGGTTGTTAAAATAACGTTAATTACTTGCGTTAAAGCTTCGTGTAGATTCCGGTGGGCGCAACTACCGCTTTACAAATTTGACCAATTGGGTGTTATGAAGCTGATTGAGAGGATCATCTCAGAACTTCAGCCAAGCTGCGATTATTCCGTTAAACGAAAGCGTCTGTGTTCTGTTTGGTAGCGGCCGGGGGATAGGAAATCGACAACTTATATGATAATGTAGTCGCTCCGGCACTTGACGGTATTACTTGCCTAGTTCAGAATATGTGCACCTGGTTTTCTCGGGCTCGGCGCTAAGTCTCTTTGCGCGTCCGAAGCTATGACTCAATATGTCGCGAGATGCGGCCACCGATCGTGAGTATATCGGCCCGTGTGGGATATTCAGTACTCATGCCTGGATGATGCGGTAAAGACTTTTCCCCAAGTACGGACAAATAGAAAGTAACATCTCAGCAGCCCTAATCCGCGCCAAATACCAGGTCACCCAATGATGTAATATCTCTTCTGCCACCGGACTTTTCAGAATGTCCTTATTGTCCTTATTAGGCCGATTCTTCTTTAACAAAGCTGGTCGTGATGTTTTACCCTTGTCGGCATTGACAGTAGGTCTGCAATGCCAAACATGTGCAGTTGCAATTAAATATTGCCAGCCATTCATCATTGTCCCATTAATCAGTAAAATGGGTACAGAAGAGTTCTGACCTTCCCCGTTGGGCAAGTTATCCGAGCCCAGAATGTGGTGGTCGTTGGTTCACCCATCAACCACATCTCCGGCTCCCTGTATCACCTTCGGCGATCGGCCTACAGCCATAAATTCTTCCCCGCATCGTTAGATGCCTGGACATCTCATCTACATAAGTGATCCCCGCAGCTCCGAAGGAAGTCTTTAGCTTCTTCATCACTTCGTTATCCGGGTACAGCTTTACAACTCAATCGCTTCCAGAGCTCTTGGACCATGCTCTTCACCGATCCAGTCGTAGTGTCCTGGGCGCTTGTGACCACATGCGTGCTTGGTTTCTTGCGGGTAAGTGAGATAATCGTGCAATATCAGAGAAACCTGCTGACGAACATCTAGCTGTATTCTTTGTGGCTGCGCAACCCTCTCAAGCACATCCCAGGACCATGGTACACCCGCATCACCCATTACATGCTCAAATGGCAAACCACAATCGGCCGACGAATGTACTACGTTCACTCCCTCCATGAAAAGTATGGTACCGTTGTACGGATCTCGCCGTATCAGGTCGCAATCTCGGATCCCGACGGCTTCGTAGCGATCCATCGCATTGGTTCTGGCTTCCTAAAGTCGCCGTGGTATGAAGAGTTCGTTGGAGCTACAGGCATCGGAATCGGTGTATTTGCTACAGTAGACCCAGTGAAGCACGGAGTGATGCGTAGGCTTTTCTCCCGCGCCTTCTCTACCACCAGCCTTCGACAGAACTGCGAGGAAGTTGTGAGGGAGAAGGTTGCGAAGGCGATTCACAGGATCAAGGGCGAGGCCACCTACGGATCCTGCGATATACTCCATTGGTTGATGCTCATGACTTCAGATGTTATTGGCCAACTAGCTTTTGGTGAATCCTTCGAGCTACTAGAATCTGGCAAGGTACGTCTACTGTCAATGTAGCTGTTACATTGCGTGTTCATCCAGTGTCACATGCTGCAGTTGAAGTCTAGTAGCTGACCACAATAATAAACAGAAAAACGAGTACATCGACACGTTTCAATTGGTCGGAATTGGGAGTTATCTGAAGCACGAGCTTCCGTGGCTCTATGCAATCTCTCATTACATTCCACTTAAGCCGCTTCGGCGAATGCTCAACGCAGGAAACTCGATCCGCGAATACGGCGAGCGAGCTGTCGAAAATTTGAACAGACATCGCGACAATAAGTCGAACCTCTTCGCTACTGCCTTAGCCGAGTGCGATGCCGGAGATAAAGCCGAACTTACGGAAGATTACATCAAAAGCGAGGCGTCTAATTTGATCTTTGCCGGCGCAGATACAACGGCGGGGACCCTGACGTACCTTGTTTGGGCTGTCTTGAGAAGGCCTGAGCTTCAGGCTCGACTTGAAGCGGAAGTCGCTGCGGTTGACGATATCAACATTTTCAACGATGCTTTTCTTGAGAAGCAACCCCTTCTCAACTCTGTTATCGATGAAACTCTTCGCCTCTACGGCAGTATTCCGGCCAATTTGCCGCGAGTTGTTCCATCCAAAGGCGCCAAGTTCGGAGACTATGAGATTCCTGGAGGCTTAGAAGTTGAGACTCAGGCTTATACTCTTCATCGGGACGAGAACGTCTATCCCAACGCACTCGAGTAAGTTGCTGGTCCTCCGAAGTAAGATCAGCCTTCTAATCTTATTTCAGATTTGACGAGTCGCGATGGATGGACCCCAAGATGCTCACGCCACACCAGAAAAGTAATTTCTGCCCTTTTGGTGCCGGTGCACGAGTCTGTATTGGTCAGCACCTCGCTCGGATGGAAATCCGTATGGGGGCTGCTGTATTGTTCAAACAGTGCCCTGGCCTCAAGTTATCGAGCAACATGACAGACTCTATGATGGAGATGGAAAACTTCTTTGTCGTTGCGCCCGTCGGGCACCGTTGCGACGTCACTCTTCAATAGTTCTTTTCTCTACAAAAAGTAAAGCCTTTGCGAGAAGAGCATCACCTGGAAGGCTCTGTCGCACACCGAATGTACAATATATTGATTCCCCTCCATGTCCTTGACGCTGCCTCGTGTAAATGATGTGACCTTTTAAGCGATTTTAGCTCTTCCACTCGCTTTTCCATCACAGTCAACTTCGCGTGATCTCCAGCTCGCTGTACTCTTTGGTAACCATCGGCAGACCCAAGTTGGCAATACTTGGTTGTATATATCTCTAATAGTGACTGTATTTGTTCTTGGTACAAAGTACTATGCCAAAACTGAACTAAAGAGCGTGGATTGAGAAAATTCTCAACATATACTAGTACACAGCCTCAGAGCCTTGTTGTTCTTGAATGATTAACAAAGCCAAACCCGTGGTTGTAGCCAAGCCATCTTATAACTCCCTTCGTCCTTGCATCATTGACCGAATCCCCTCCATATTTCTCGCATTACTGGCTGGAAGAGATACTAGCTGGAGTCCAGGTTGGCGTGTTGCCTGTGTTACCCTTATTGAACGGCAGCGCTGCAATAGCTCTACTCTACTCTAGCTGGGCATACCAGGTACCATCCAGACGGGGGAGGACGATGCAGCCGGCGCCGGTGGTAGGGGTCGGGCTGAGACTCATTCCGGTAGCGCGACCGATCGGGACCCTGATGGTCTCCCTAACCGTGCCGGTGATGGTGTCCTGGTAGTTGCTGAAGATGATGGCCGCGCCAAACAGCTGGGATCGGTTGGTAATCTGGTATCTAAGCTGGCGGTTTCTGGTGGTCGTAGACGAAAAGTCGATGATGGCACGAACGTTACGGTTCGGGTTCCACTCGATAGAGCGGCGGGCGTCGAGATCACCCTGGATATCTCGGCGGTTGTCTCGGTTGATTCTGAGAACCGGGAGGATGTGGGTGAAGCAGCCCTGACGGGCTTCAAGGGGGGATGAGTCGAGAGGGGCGACCTCGCGGACATCCATGTTCACAGCTCCAATGGCTGAGTTGTCGGGGGGGCTAAGAGCCGTGGAAAAGACGGAAGTGGCCAAAGTGGCAATGGTGAAGAGAGCGGTAGAGAACTTCATTGTGAGAGTTTGTGGATGTCTTGTAAAAGAATGGTTTGGGTAGATGAAATGTCGGAAGGAGCGAGTTCAGTAGAGAAAGAAGAGAGAGTAGTTTGAATCTTCGGTGTCTGGAGATGTCTTCCAATCTGAATAATTGCGCCGGTATGATCGAGGCCTTTATAGAGATTGAGAACTCATGATGGAAACCAATATCAATCTCACAGCCGTGGGCAATGTGTTTAAGTTCGATTGCATCCTTGGCATTGCAGCCCACAGTGGCCAGAACATTGTTCGACGTTCTGAGCCAAATTCTCCAAATATTGAACATGAAGTTATTCGGAGTAGTCGGAGGACTCCGTTGAGTCTAGCAGTTGACATGAGTCTACGGAGCTTTAGGTTCCCGAATAAGAAAAAGACCCATTCAACGTAACGGATCCGCCTAACGCCTAAGTCGAGGCTGTGAAACTCTAATCCCCGGACACAGCGGACACGGTGACTTTCAAAAGCGAAGTAATCTCGCAAATCTTTTAGTGTAAAGTCAGAGTGATGGAGAATCGTGACAAACGTGCACGAGTCTAGTCTCGATAGAGCTTCGTAAAGGCAAGCAAATGGAATAGGCTGCCTAAAGCTAGTCGAATTCTAAGCTCTTGGCAATCCGACTTCTAGTTTATTGGTTCTGTTTTAAATGAGAACTATGTCAGACTTTACAAGAGCCTAGCACGTGGACGAGTTCTCCGATTTTAACCTTCGTATCTTAATCTTGATGGAAACCATTTCCACCTTCGGAATTCTTTACCAAACAGGCACTCGGACTTAGAGGCTGGTAGCTCTTCAGCAGTCCATTTCTCAATCGGAGCCATCTTAGAGTTCACGACATTCTTGATTGGATCAACCCCAGTGGACTAGTTCGTCCTTGTCACTCGATCCTAAACGAATCCGAAGTGCTGACAACCGGCTAAGTTCCTCGAATTTAGAAGGCTAAATCGACAGACAAGGAATCTGGACGTAGAGCGAGGAGAGCGAACTTGCTTTGGGATTCCTCGGAGGGAAAATATTTTCCGGTCGTAAGGCTCCGTTTCTTGAGCTAACTCCAGTACAATACGCTGACAGGTCGCGCAAACCTGGCAGGCTGGTCCAACTTTGATTTATTTTGAAAGCGCTTCGTTGTTCTAGGAGTGATGTGCTGCGCCGCATAATAATGCAACGGGAATATGAGGACAGAAAAGAGCAATAAGAAGGCGGGGTAAAGTCCGTCTACAGCGGCTGTTCCTGAAGACACCCAACGTGGATACTTAATGTCGGCTATGCCCACCGATTTTCTCCGTCGACGTCTCATATCCACTACGCAGTTCGATATATGATTGTTGGACTTGGTGCCGGCCGAAAGGCCTGCCCTACTGACACGTGTACCAGCGGTACCCAGAATAAGCTCCTGCTTCAGTATTTGTGAATGGATAGCCATTTGACACTCAACATCAGGAACTGGGGACCCTTCCCAGATCGTCGCTTGAAGCCTTCAAAGCGAGTGCCTTGCGGTGGATATGTCACTGAACGATGGACGCGGACATGGCTACGATAATCTCAAAGCTATTAAAGGATCAACTAAATGGTACCAGTCTAGATGAATGTCGAGGAGCGACGACCAAATGTTTCCAAATTGTCGACTATGATGGCAGTCAATCGCCGGCGGCAAGTTACCATACAAACACCCATAACCGGTCTCTTCAAGTAAAAGAACAGTAGTGAAATCAGATATTAACTATCTCCATCGTGACTTGACAGAGAAGACAAGTCCATAGCCTCAGAGTAGGCGGAACCGAGAATACTCCCAATCCAGGTCCCTTCCGCCACGGTTACCCGGTCTGGCTTTCATTGGCTTATTGTTAAAGTAATTCATGTCGACCCAAGCTCATTGCTCAGGATGCCGAACAATGAAGAGAATCCCAAACACGTCATTGTCCCGGGCGTCCCAGATGACCATTACCCCCTCTCGGTGTCATCGATATCCAGCTACGGCTTCGTCTTCAAATCCTGCAGGCCCTACTATGCCGAAGGTTTTGGGCAATCCGCGGATGTTCACAAGAATGACCACTCCTAAGAAATGCCTCCAATGCCTCCAACTCAAACATCAGCCTCGCACCTTGCTGGCCCCCATGGCTTGATTATGGGAAAATTCTGCTGCAAAGATCCCCGCACTTTTACCCTCCTATTTTTACATTGAACGATATGCCAATCCTTCCTTCATCTACGATTATCCATCATGTCAACTCCACGAACGCACTCAACCAAGCCCATCATTGGGCAGACAGTGGCCTCCAAACCCTCAATCGAAGATCCGTCCAACACCTCCACTCGACGCACCGAGACTGAAGAAATACCCATAGCCACCGATGGCCTCCACCGCCGCCTCAGCAACCGCCAGGTCCAGCTCGTCGCCATCGGGGGGTCCATAGGCACGGCCGTCTTCGTCAGCATGGGCGGCGCCCTCCAGCGTTCCGGGCCGGGCAGCCTTCTTCTGGCGTTTGTCATCTACACGATCATTCTCTCGCTTTGCAATAACTGCATGGCTGAGATGTCCGTCTACATGCCCATCAGCGGCGGGTTTGTCAGACTTGCGGGGAAATGGGTCGATGACGCGTTTGGCTTCATGGCTGGCTGGAACTTCTTCTTCTACCAAGCTTTCCTCATTCCTTTTGAGATCGTCGCTTTGACGCTGGTGGTTTCGTACTGGAATGACAGGATTCCAGTCTATGCAGTTTGTATCGGATGCATCATACTCTATGGGTATGTTTCCCCGGTGCTCGCTGTGGTCCTTGTTGGCATCAGGAAGAGTCCAAGGGTGTAGAGCAAAGTTAACTTCATTGCTTAGCCTTATTAACGTTTTCGCCGTCGGCGTTTACGGAGAAGCCGAATTCTACCTCTCCGGCGGTAAAGTCATTCTGCTCGCAATGCTTCTTGCTTTTACTTTAATCACTATGGCGGGAGGTAACCCGCAGCACGACGCCTACGGCTTCCGAGCCTGGTCCGCTGGTTACTTTGCCGAATACGTCAGCACCGGGCCCCTCGGGAAATTGGAAGGCTTCCTGTCCGCACTTTGGACCGCATCCTTCACCTGCGTGGGACCCGAATACGTCTCAATGATGGCCGCCGAAGCCAAACATCCCCGTATCTACGTCAAGACGGCCTTCAAAGCAGTCTACTGGCGTATCTGGATCTTCTTTGTCGGGAGTGCCCTGGCCGCTGGCATCGTCGTCAGCCCTAAGGATCCGACTCTCGTTGCGATATATACCGGCAAAGGAGGCTCCACGGGTAGCGCGGCTGCATCGCCTTATATCATCGCGATGGGCAACCTCGGCATCGGTATCCTGCCTCACGTTGTGACTTTCTTCTTGGCTACCACCATTTTCTCGGCCGGCAGCGCCTATACCTATTGTTCTACAAGAACGCTCTATGGTCTGGCACTCGAAGGGAGGGCCCCGCGCTTCCTGACCAAGACGACGAAGAAGGGGGCCCCGATTTACTGCCTTGCCGTGGTCATGGTATTCCCTCTCTTCTCGTTGTTGCAGCTCTCGAGCTCGTCGGCAAAGGTACTCGACTGGCTGATTTCGCTGACAACTGCGGCAACTGTCATTGACTACATCGTCATTTGCGTCACATACATCTGCTTTCACAGGGCCTGCAAGACGCAAAACTTTGACCGCTCTCGTCTCCCCTACATCGGTCGGTTTCAGCCGTATAGCGCATACATTGGCCTGGTCTGGATGATATGTGTCGTCATTTGCTACGGCTACCGGTCACTCAGTCCGTTTGACTCAGCGTCGTTTTTCATACATTACACAATGGTTCTTCTAGCGCCTCTTCTGTTCTGTCTCTGGAAGTACTTCAAGGGTACGAGAACTCTGCGGCCGGACGAGGCCGACCTCGTGTGGGATGCTCCTCGGATAACCGCGTACGAGGAGCTGCTAAGCGAGGTTGATCCTCCCATCGGATTCCTACAAGATATAGCCAACCACTTCTCGGTCAAGAGGCTTGTCAAGAGACGTGATGCCACCGTCGGAGTGTGAAGCAAACCAGCTCTCGGCAATCAAGCCCACCGCCTCACTCAGCCCAACTACGTTGACAGGGTATACCAAAGCCCTCCCGCAACAGCACCAGCGCCGACAAGCCACGGCGCAAATCGAGCCCCGGCTTCTAGAATCACTCGCTTCTGCTTGTCAAAGATCTTGCTTCTGAGAGCCGCAGCTTCGTTCCCATGTGGGAACGGTATGTCCGGCACAGGCAAGTCGAGGAACTCGCACAAGGGACCCCAGCCCTCGCCGAGCTTGTACACAAGCAACCTCTCTTTGGGGACCGTCGACAGGATGTACTTGTGGTGGCGCTCATAGACCTCGCCGAGCATCGACTCCAAGTCAGTAACGTCGCTAGCTCCCACCCAGCCCAGCATCATCTTTTGAATATTCCCCGCGCTGTCTGCACCCATCATGGGCTCGACGTAGTCCCGGATGAAACACGTCAGGGGCCCAAAGATGCCAGAGATCACCTCCTTCATCGATACACGCCACTTTTCATAGTCCCGGATGACGAGAACGACCTTCGCTTCAGGGTAGGCATCGATGAGCGATGGTGTGAAGGGGGCCGCGATATCGGTGATGCCCTCGCATGGTCCGAAGATTTCGTCCCAGTCGGCGGTGGTCATGCCCTTGCCGGTGTATGAGGGCAATGTCGGGAATAGGGCGTCGGAGGCACGGCCGAAAAAGCGCCAGTCATCGGGGCTGTCAATGGCATTGAGGCCGTGGTAGACGTCCTTGTAACCCAGCTCGGTGAGGGCGAGCATCATGGAGTAGGACCCCGTGCGAGGGAGCCCGACGCTGAGGACTTTGGTGGGGCGAGAGGGAGCCATCGTGATGGGTTGATTTAGCGTCGATGCCTTGAAGCTGGTTCACGATATGTCTACACGTAGTACTGGTTTCTCCTCACACAGAAGTGTGTTGGTTCTGGTGAACATTAGTGACAATCGGAGGTCAGTCGATTATCTTAGTGAAGTTCGACCAAATAAACATGTCAGCATGAGCGACATTCAAAAGCTGCCTAGCCCATATCATCACCCTTGTCGATCTAACTGCTTTGCGAATTAGATGACTCCACCGCTAGCTCAATCAACCGATTCTGCCGTATACATCCCTGACTCGGACATGGAAAGCCCGACAGGCAACCGTTCTAGGGTACCTGGACCGCTGTCATTGTTGAATCGACAATTCAATCTCGAAGATGAGGATGTGATCACCAAGGTCGAGTAACATTTCCTGAGATTCAAGTCAAGACACTGGCATCTGAAGCATCAACACACTTTCAGTATTTTCCGTTGGAAATCGCTCATTGGCATTCGGATCCACTGTTTGGCTGCTCGAACCCTCGACAGAAGTATTCCTCTCAAGGTCCAGCTTTCCGTACACGCCAATCCTAGCATCTCATCACTCCTTTTTCGCATCCTCTTCCTCGCCAGCCAACGCCTGCAAAACAGCCTGCAACGCAGCCCGATCCGCGCCCCGAATCTTGTCGACGCGGCCATCCTCAGTGAACACAACCGACTGACGGGGCGTCACCCCCTTGGCAGCCACACCCGTAGGCTTCCCCTTCTGGAAGAACATGAATGTCGGCATGGCAGTGACGCCGTAGCGGCCAGCGACGTTGTTGACGTGATCGACATTGACCTTGGCGAAAGCAAGCTTCCCCTCCGCGGCGTGCTTGTCGGCCAGACCGGAGAAGATGGGCGCAATAACGCGGCAGGGCGGGCACCAGTCGGCGTAGAAGTCGACGACGACGTTGGTGGTGGAGGCGAGGAGGGCGTCTAGCTCGCCGGCGCTGGCGACTTTGTAGACTTTGCCTGATGTCTCGGGGATGGGCGAGCGGTCTGCGAATAGTGTCTTTGGAGAGTTTATTAGTTAGCAGCGTGGGACTCACATTTGAGGTGTCGTTTCGGGAGAACAGCCGTGGACATGTCATGAAGAGGGGTGAGGCAGCGGCGCCGTCGTGAGACCAGATGTGGGGTACGTACTTTTGCGAGCATGTAAATGGCAAAAGCCAGGAACATCCATGAGAGCGTGTCCATCTTGTAGCTCGATACAATGGACTTTTATGATGAGAGCAACCGTTGCGTGGACTCTCGCGCGGATAGCGAATGATGGAGAGCACGAGGAGAAGGCTCAGTTGAACCGACCTTGAGCTGTGGGAGTGATCCGGGCTTTACCCGGCGGGGCTTTGTCAGCAGCGACCCATGGGTGGCGCCCAACGTCAGTGCCAGGTACCAATATCCAGGCGTGCCATGTACCCTAGAGCAGAAGATCCAGTCTGGTACGCCCTGTTGAGGCAACGCCAAAATCTAGATAGACCCGACAGCAACTCCGAAACCTGGTAAATGTTTCGTCTAGGTATAGATACCTTGAGATGTATTCTTCTTCCGGAAACTTCATATTTTATTCTATTTGGCAAGTTCATAATTGGAGAAAACTGGCGCACATTCTGGTCCGAGGCAAACGTCGCCAGTGACGCATGAAATCATCACATCCCAGTGCGCGTCTTCCAAAATACCAATGCTTCCAAACAGCGCTTTACTTGCAGCGCATCAAGCATGGTATGGCATATATACATAAATGGAACATAGTTGCGCCACCTCCATAATATGTACGGGTATCATCTCCCCGAGCAAAAGCTCAACCTAGTCGTGCCATCTAGCATCCTCCGCAAAAGCAGCGGTCGTCACTAGATCACCCAATATTAGCATCCACTGTCCTCTCATCTCCAAAACAAAATTCCAAGAGAATATTTATCCATTCTCTCTTTCATCTTGACGTACCCGAAAGCAGAGAGTCCGCAGAACGGCTTCGTGCAAGGTCCTCCGCTGCAGAAGCTAGTGCAGTCGCTATCCCTGCCACAGGTAGGCGCAACGTTGGCCTGAGGCGCTGCGAGAGCGAGGGCGGAGAGAGAGAGTAAGGCGATGATGGAGAACTGCATTTTGGCGTGTGACTACGAGTTGAGTGGAAGAGAAGGGCTTCGGAAACGGGAGGCGTCTGCGGATGGCTGTAAGTGGGCGGAGTGAGTGGAGAGCTTGAGTTGATAGACTGACAGAGACTCAGGCCTGGGAGGTAGACTTGCTCTTTTATATCTTCTTTACAGACCCGTATGGGTTTATACACGCTGATGTATGCGCCGATACTCTGCGTACATCGCGGACTTTACACAACCTACCCGGGTAGGAATTCGTCCCCGCGAGTAAGTCTAATTTCTTAAAGACAGTGTTCGTTTGATGGTCACAATCAATGTGGTTCGTCTCTAGGCTTGGCAGTCCTATGCTGGAGAGAACTCAGCCTCAGAACTACTCTATCTGTAGAAGCATGGTCTTGACTCGCCATGGGGAGAGAAGGTATACCCCTGCTGGTTATGCCAATACGCGCCTGTAATTCGGTGCACGGGATGTCTGTACATGTCCGGCGGCCATTTTTAAGCTTTGTGAGACTAGAAATCAATGGTGAACAAAATATGATTATGTGGGAGGCCCGCGGGATTCTTCACCTGGCTGAGCCAATTTGGACAAATGACACTGCAGATCGATTCGGTACCATAGTCCTTAATATCGTTGGTCCCTCTGTATCTTGTAATTTCTGTTGACGATTCGAAGTCCCCGACGAGGATTGACACCCAGGAATGGCCGTCAAGTCATGCGATACTATGGGTTTACCATTTTACGAAGAGAATACGAAGACTGAGGAAACATATCACCCATGATCACCCTGTCTCGAGGTTGAAATGACAGCAGTATAAGGCGGAATCAAGGTAAGTGGAATGTCTACATCTGCTGCTGGCTCCACAAGACTATGTCGCCAGTTGGAAGCAAGAAAGTGGAAAGGGATGACCTCTGACGGAGGTTTCAGGGGCCGGAGATTCGTCTAGGCTCCGGCCCTCCGATCCCGGGAAGCTGACCGCCCGGACACAGACGGCCGGCAGCTTAAAGCGGTGCCTGGGGAAAGACTGGAGGCCAGGTGAATCGTAGCAAATATAGACTTTGCAAGTTTCCTGCATCAGAATGAAGTATCCATCTGATGATGCACTTGCTCGTCCCCGCAGGGCAAAGACTTCATCTTTCCAAGAACTTGCTGCTTTCCGGGCCCGCGACTCTCCCTTTTCTACCGTTTAAAGAGGACGTGGAATACAAGGCTGCGTGAAGAAAACCATTGGACTGACGTTAGCCTTGTTTGGTAGCGACCATGATCTCTTAGGAACGTGCGGCAAGGCAAATATCGACGACCATCTACTGAAGCACCAAATTGACATATGTTTGGACGGATATGGAAGCCGGGCTCCAACGGGACAAAGAAAAGATGCTAGGCGTGAAGAAACCAAAGCAACCAGTATGGAGGCGTGAGGTGTCAGTCAACCATTGCGTCGATGATCTGCCCATCCGGAGTCTGGGAGCCGAACCCCACTGTCCCGGCCGGAAAGTTCAAGGACATCTAAGCTCGGCGGAGGGATTGACATTCGGGAGCGGAGTGCCGGATGAGACTCCACATCATCGATGCCGTGATGTGCCCTTGACGAATCGTCAACGAGTTTCAAGTAACATGGGGTGGCATGGTAAAGTTGGGTCAACATATAGTCGCCTGTCACGCAATACCCAGCTCCATGGAGCGGGAACCACCTGCTCCAGGAGCTTGAAGGGTTGGGCAAGCCGGTTCGGACTTTTGGATGGCTCATTCTCTTCAGCGGGTTGGATACAGCGGATTCGGATACCGGATGGACCCTTGAGAAGTCTACTGTAAATGCCACATCGCTGGGCGAGAAATCGCCGGTAGCCGTTGTAACTTGTGCCATGGTTCCCACTGGCGTTGACCTGGGGATCGAATGGACCGTGGAGTCGTGCACTACCAGACGATGGGATGGGTGGGGATGTAACCTTTGGGTTGTGTGGGGTAAAGGAAAGTAACGGTCAGATACGTCTGGGGAGAGATATGGATAGATATCTATGGTTACGTCCAGATATCAGATACAGGTCTCGTGGGATGGAAGACTGGCAAGTCGCCCCAGGCGTGGACCAAAATTCTAGCTTGAGATGCTGCAACCGAGCAGCAACGGATGACCTGGTTGATATTAGCCACAGCTAGAGTCACTGGCTCGGGGAATTCAGATCGAGTCGATTGCTGACACGCCTGCCGACCCGGACGTCTATACAGAGATGAGCCTTAATTGCCATTCTAACGTACGGAAGACGGAAAGCTGACACTCTACTCGAATACTGCTGTGCGACCCCGAAAAACGGCCTGAAGTAGAATCAAAGCTGCAAGTAAGGTAGGGCGGGAAACATGTGCGATGCAAGCATCCTTATCTGTGTAACGAACCCACGAGGAGGAAGACTGGAGCAAGAGTCTATCAGTCCCGTCGTGTCGCCGATGCAACTGGCCGGTTCCCAGGCCGTGGGCACGGTCAAGTCAGCTCCTGCTCCGTAACACGTCGTAGACGTGGGAAGCACGGGTTATCCTGACAGCTTAAGGGACGGGAGTCTGAGGAATAGCGTTGATTTAGGTGTCGGTTAGGCATCTGTAGGCATCTGTATCGAATCTTCAATCTGCAGATGCCCATTGTGGCCAAAGCCACAAGCTTAATCACCTCTCGTCTGGCAGCTGCATGCTGGCACGCAGTGTGGTCCCCTCTTTTTTCTCACTTCTTTCCATTCTTTTTTTTGAGTTTCAATCTCAGGGAAACGTTACATGCACCTCTCCATCCTGCACGGACTACAGCTGGCAGGGGGCAGGGACGATGCCTAGCGCGCTGGTTGGTCGACGCTTGTCTATCTTGGCTCTGGGCGCCACTTTAAAAATCTCTCCGCACGGGGGAAGGTGTGGTGGTGTGGTGGCTGCTGTTGCCTTTTTTACCACTGTGTTTGTTGCGTGGAGGGAAGGCACGAGATCAAAAGTTGTAGCGTTCAGATACCTACTGGTATTCGATGTTTTACAGATATCTATGGCAGACGAGAGTAATTAGAGAACTTGGGAATATCAACCTCGTATCCCGACTTATCACTACCCTGAGAAAATCAACATCGGCCGCATGCTGTGGACCGCAGGATGAATCCATGTGCATTCGCAGCAAGGGCCTGTGATGCTGTCAGCACTTGATCGTCTTCGGCACTGAAAAGGCACAGTGCGGGCGGCCGGCAGGCGATGGATGCATGTCATCTCTCCTTCTCCTTCCCCAAACGGCCGAGGCACAGGTGTCCATAAGCCAATTACGATCACAGTCTCCGAGATGGAAGGAAGCGCCACCTCGTGACCTCCCGGACTGTTGACCAATCAGATATCCCAAGGCATCGGCCCTTTGTCGTGGGGCTTATCGATTGGGGTAGAGTGGGGACGCAACGAACCATGAATTTGGTTGATGAATTTCGCTTCTTTCTCCCGGCGCGGCACACATGTCAAAACCATTAAGCACCTCAGATTGCTTCCTGCAAGTGACGGTAGGCGACTTGGGATGAAACCTGACGCGAGTTGGGGCAAACAGAAAGTTGAAATCACTAGCACCAAAGACTCATTCAAGCAAGAAAGAATGGCTTCTTTGGTGTTACCTGCCCATGAATACCAGCTAGGGGCCTCTGCAGATGTGGTGTGATGCGAGAGGGAGGTTGGCCCAGCCAGTCAGCAGCAATGGGACTTTGACAACGTGATGTCTCGATTCCAACTTCCAGCCACCGTCAATCACCCATTCTCCCTACTACCTTATTCGCAGGTTGGAACGAATAGGTACCGTCGTTGGAGCCTACACCTCGTGATACCTCGCGTTGCCGTGAACAGCCGCTCTTCGCCCTGGCTTAGGCCGCCACCGCGTGCCGTCCGGCGCCGTTGAAGTTTGTCTAAATTTGGACTGCGTCTTTCTTTGATTGATTGTTGGTTGACTCGACAATGCCATACGGGTACCCGTCTCCCAGACCAGACCCAACTTCCAAGATTCCGCAACTATCAACGTCAAGACGGTATCAAGCCTGACCGACTGATTGCTCACGCATCCATCATTCGGCACTGACCGGGCCGGAGTCTCTCTTATCAAGACTGGACCTTCAAGCTTCAGGTCCACGGCCAGGTCTCCGAACCGAAATCTCCCCATCCGTATCTGTGGATTACCCGGTTCAGTCAATCGCATCCCTGCGCAGTGGCTCCTCTCAACCCATCGGCTGTTTCCCCCGTTGCCCAGCGGCGCCGCCAGATCCTGGTTTGGTTTCCCCATGCTCCACACCATCAGTCAATTCTGCTGTCACCTTTGAATTGGCATTATCACCTCTGACGAGCAACTTTGGCGCACTTCTACCAGTGCCTGGTGGCTGTTGAGTGTTGCTTGTTGACGAGCCGTATCTAAGCCTCCAAGGTAGGCCACTGCCTCTGACTGTCACGTAACTTGCCACTCCATCCTACCACCTTTCTTTGACACCACCACAATGACACATTGGAGACGCCTTACCTTACTCTCAGCCCATCTATCAAACCTGGTCCAAGGTCTCTCGTTCATATGGCGCTGATAGGCACCTCGGCCACACGTCAGATGGAACGCACACGAGAAAGACGACTCCTTCCTGAGTTTCCATTGCTACCTTACCCGCTCTGACCGTGCCTTCCCCTCCACTGCTAGAGCGGTCAACTGGGGCAGCTCCTTCCTGCCTGTGCCTTTTTGCCAGTAATCTCCTGCCTCCTGACATCAAAGGTGCCGTGGCGCGTGTGAGGTGCCTTCCCCCAAATTCTCACCTGCTGCGTACCCCGTACCCGTCCCGTCCCATTCGGGCGTTGGCGCCACCTTCCTTAGCTCTGCACATCTTCTCCCTGAGTCCCTCCTTCCATCGTCTCACACCTCACACACCCATCATCCGTGGACGCGCTTTCCCGTTTGCCATCCACGCCCCCGGCTGCCGGCTTCTTTCCTTCGCACCTAAGGTATCCGTCCATCTGCACCTGCCCTGCGTCTGAACATTGAGCCTTCAAAGGTACTCGATTATTAAGGTATTTTTATATGCAAAAAGAAACACTCGACACTGTTTGCTCTTGCCATCTTCCAATCTTGTCCTGTCTTCCCGTATCACGGTTTCGTCAGCGGCGATAAACAAATTGGCGTATCCGGTACTTTACCTTACTTCGCTACTATCTTTCTTCTCTTTCCCCTCCATCAACACCCTTCCTCCATCTTCATCATCTCCAAGTCAACAAATCAACCCTGGCTACCCTAGCACGCCTAGCTACGGATACCACCTCCATCATCCTCACACCCTCCACCCGACTTCCTCCCAGTCTCCGCTCCCCCTTGTCATCTTTTTCGCACCCGCCACGCCTCACCCTGGCACGTCGGGACCGCGACCTTGACCAAAGCTCCACCCACGATCATCGCCCAGTGCAACTGCAACCTGCAGCCCGATAAACCGTCCCATAAAGAAGCTGCACACCTCCCCCGGGACCCTTCTTCTAGCCTTTGCTCGCCCGTCTCATTCTTTCAGTCCAGTCTTTCCAGACCACAACTCATCGAACCGAGCCTTGCGCCTGCGCTACTTTGGGCCACCATCACCCATCGTCTGGCACGATTGAGTTTCCAGTCTGCGACACTTTGAGAGAGAGAGAAGCACCAAGCGGCAGCCACACACCACCGGCCCCAATCCCTCCCGTCCCGCCAAGGCGCAACGCCGCTCCGTCAACCTCAACGTCTATCCTCTGAACCTCTCCACCTCGTCAACTCCACACCACCGCCAAGATGTCTTCTGTCGACGAGAAACACGCTCCCGAGCCCGCGGCTGCGGCCGATGTCGAGCCCGTCACCGCCGCCCCGACAACAACCGCTATTGACGGCCCCGTTCCCCGCCCTGCCGGCTTCATGTACCGTGGCTTCCGGATTGGTGGCAAGGAGCTCTGGTACGCTTCACCCCGCATCCAGCTCTTCATGGTCTCCTTCGTCTGCTTCCTCTGCCCCGGAATGTTCAATGCTCTCGGTGGTCTCGGTGGCGGCGGTCAGGTTTCCACAAAGGCCTCCAACGATGCCAACACGGCCTTGTACTCTACCTTTGCCGTCGCCGCCTTCTTCGCCGGTACCTTTGCCAACCGTCTCGGTCTCCGTCTGACTCTCAGCTTGGGCGGCTTGGGCTACTGCATCTACGCCGCCTCGTTCCTGTCCTACTCTCACAACCAGAACGAAGGCTTCGTCATTTTCGCCGGTGCCTTCCTCGGCGTGTGCGCTGGTCTCTTGTGGACTGGCCAGGGTGCCATCATGATGTCTTACCCCTCTGAGAAGGAAAAGGGACGCTACATCTCTTGGTTCTGGATGATCTTCAACCTCGGCGCTGTCATCGGTGCTCTTATCCCCCTTGGTCAGAACATCAACACCACCTCGCGAAGCACTGTTACTGACGGCACCTACGCCGCCTTCATTGTTCTCATGCTGCTCGGTGCCATTCTTGCTCTCTTCATGTGCGATGTGCCCAAGATCATTCGTGAGGACGGCTCCAAGGTTATCGTCATGAAGAACCCTTCTTGGCAGTCTGAGTTCAAGGGCTTGTGGGAGACCCTGGCTCAAGACCCGTGGATCATCCTTCTGTTCCCCATGTTCTTCACCTCCAACGTCTTCTACACCTACCAGACCAACGACATGAACGCCCCTCACTTCAACACCCGCACTCGCTCGCTCAACAACCTGTTGTACTGGTCCTCCCAGATTATCGGTGCTCTCATCTTTGGCTATGCCCTTGACTTCCCCAAGGTCCGCCGTAGCGTGCGCGCAAAAGCTTCCTACATTACGCTTTTCGTCTTGACCATGGCCATCTGGGGCGGTGGATACGCATGGCAGAAGAAGCAGGCTCCTCGCGGCGAGATTGAGGGCAACTTGGACTACCCCACCATTGACTGGACCGACGGCGGTGAGGCCTACATTGGCCCCATGTTCTTGTACATGTTTTACGGATTCTTCGATGCCTGCTGGCAGACGAGCATCTACTGGTACATGGGTGCCCTTTCCAACTCTTCCCGCAAGGCTGCCAACCTGGCTGGTTTCTACAAGGGTAAGCCAAGCGTTCCTCCACTGTTTTGAAGCATTGATACTGACTTGGTACAGGTATTCAATCCGCCGGCGCTGCCGTCTTCTGGCGTCTCGATGGTGTCCAAACCGAGTACAACACCATTTTCGGCGCTACCTGGGGTTGCCTTGCTGGTGCCCTCGTTATCGGTGCGCCCATCATCTTCTTGAAGATCAAGGACACTGTCACCGTCGAGGAGGATCTCAAGTTCTCTGACGAGACCATTGCGGACGTTGCTGCTCCGGGAACGGTTGACACTAAGTTGGAGAAGGAGGTCGCGTAAGCTGTTTTGCTGAAGCGAAACTGGGGCCGATGCCTGCATGATATCCACGGGAGTTGCGGGGGATTTTACGCTGACGAGGGATGAAGATACCATGATGTGCTATGCGCATTGGATGTTGTAATGTTGGATTAGGTCCGTTTATATGTAATGACAAGGCTTTATCAAGTCACACCATCTTTCAATAGCAAGCCGATGATCATCTGCTGCAAGCTTTATTGATCTATTTGTTTGGTCTATCATGATGCAGCGTTCGCCTCATACATACCCCCGATGTCTATCCTCCACCTCCTCGCCGCCATACCCCCCACCACCCGGCGTATTGACCTGGATATACTCGCCTTCCTTCAGGTTGATAATCGCCTTCCCGCCAAGATTAATCTTCTCCATTCCTCCCTCGTCATTCAACAAGAAAGCATAATTCTCACCCTTTTGCCCCGGCCCGCCGCCAGCCATACCCCAGGGTCTATACACCCTCCGATCCGAAAGAATACTAAATTTGAGCGGGATACGCGCCTGGATCTCACGGGTGATTCCATCACCTCCACAATACTGCCCAACACCGCCGCTGCCTCTGCGGATACCGTAGGACTTTACCAGCACAGCCGTCCGCTTCTCAATGACCTCCGCGTCCGTCTGCCGCGTATTCGTGGAATGCACGTGCGTCGAGTGCTCACCGTCGTACCCGGCTCCCGCACCCACCCCGCCGCCGATGCTCTCCCCGTAATTCCACCCCTTGACGACTATTCCGGTCTCCGGGTCCCGTCCGCCCATGCCCCAGCCGAAACTATTCGCGCACCCCTGGCTTGCGCCGTGTGTCCCGAACGCGCGGAGGATGACGTCGATGACGCGCTGCGAGGCGAGTGTGCTGCCGCAGATGGCGACGCCGGGGCCGGGGTTCAGGACGGAGCCTTGCGGTGGGAGGATGATGTCTACCGGGTTCAGGCAGCCTTGATTTAGGGGTATGTCGAGGCCGACTAGGCTTCGGATGGTGTAGATTATGGCGGAGTGGGTGATGGAGACGGGACAGTTGTAGTTCCCCCAGATTTGGGGGCCCGAGAGGGAGAAGTCGTAGGTCGCGGTGCCGGTTTCGGGGGCGATTGTGATGTTGACGTGGAGGGGCGTGCCGTCGTCTAGGTGGTCTGTCGCGGAGAGGCCGGACGGGTGGGAGGCGGCGAGGGATCTGAAGTAGGTTCTGACGGCGGCCTCCGCGTTGGCTTGGATGGCGGACATGTACTTGTGCACCACGACGACGCCGCGCCTCCCCTCGCCTTGCTCGGCGCAGAGTTTCCGGAGGAGGAGGATGCCGCGCTGGTTTGCGGATGTCTGGGCTTTCAGGTCCGAGATGTTGTCGGCGAGGCGGCGGGAGGTGGAGCAGCCTGGGAGGGAGCCCGCTTTCTCGAAGGCGGCGAGGACGTCGGATTCGAGGAAGTGGCCGCGGGAGACGATTTTGAGGGTGGGTACGTTGAGGCCTTCTTCCCAGAGTTGGCGGGACTCAGGCATCATTGAGGTGATGCCTTTGCCGCCTATGTCTGTGTGGTGGCCGCGGGAGGCGACGTAAAAGGCGATTTCTTGGGTGGATGTTTCGTCGCTGTCTGGTTTGTCGGCGGAGGGTGATCCGGTATCGACAAAGACGGGCGTGACGACGGTCAGATCTGGTAGATGCGTGCCGCCCCATTGCGGGTGGTTTGTGAGGAGCACGTCGCCGGGTTGGAGGCGGCCTTTCCAGTGGCGGTGTTGCTCTTGGATGGCGAACTGCATGGAGCCGAGGTGGATGGGGATATGGGGCGCGTTGGCGACGAGTTTGCCTTCGGGGGAGAAGATGGCGCAGGAGAAGTCGAGGCGTTCTTTGATCGAGGTGGAGATTGCGGTGCGTTGGAGGGTGGTGCCCATTTGTTCTGCTATGGCCATGAAGCGGTGGGCGAAGACGGAGAGGAGGATTGGGTCTGTGGTTTCTGGTGCCGGGGTCTGGGGCGCCGGTGTTGGTGTTGTGGAAGCGGAGAGGGGCGATGTTAATGAAGTTGTCGTGGAAGTGTGCTTCTCGAGGAGTACGTGGGAGGAGAGGATGTACGCGCTGAACGTTGGCGATACAAAGATTGTCTGCGTCTGGTCGATGAGCAGAGCTGGTCCCTCGATCACGACGCCCTTGGGAACTTCATCCAGACGATACACGCCCGTCTCGCGCCATCCGGCGTCGATATAGACTCTCTGCTTCACGCGCGGCTCCGGGGCGGCAGCTACACCATCGCTAGCACCGCTCTTCCTATCCGCTAGCTCCTGAGTCGCAGACGCCTCTCGCATCCCGAACGCGCTCCCTGCCGCGCTGCCTGTCCCGCGGACCTTGATCGACTCAATGACAATGTCCCGATCCATCGAGAAGGCAAACTCGCGGAGGTGCGTGGCCTTGAAGCTCGCGGCATAATCGCCATCCTCGGGGCGGGAAATTGTGAGGTTGGTATCGGTGCCAAAGTACCGCAGCACAAGACTCTCGTCAAAGACCAGAGAAGTCTCATCCGCATCCTGGGATACTAACTCTTGCGTCACCTTTTCCTTAAGCGCAGCTAGACGGTCAGCGACGTGAGATGCCACTGCGGCTTGCACGGCGCTATCGCTGTGTTTGAATTTTGCGCCGTACGGCTCCAGGGTCTCGCTTTGCAGCTCTGCCTGCGCGATGCCGTACGCCGAAAGTAGGGAAGAGAATTTGTGGATCAGGATGCGGCGGATGCCGAGTTTATCGGCAATCTCGCAAGCGTGCTGCCCGCCTGCGCCGCCAAAGGAGACGAGGTTGTGATTTTCGGGAGCGAAGCCGCGGGCTTCCGTTGCGTTGCGGATAGGGCGGGCCATTGTTTCGTTTGCGACGTCTAGGCAGCCTAGGGCTACGTCGTGTGGTTGGAGAGTCTGGTTCGTCTGCTCGTTGAATTCCTCCGTAATTTGTTTGAACTTCTCTTCGACCACGGCGGTATCGAGCGGTTCAGAGGCGGACGGTCCAAATATGGAAGGGAAAGAAGATGGAACGAGACGTCCAAGGAAGAGGTTCGCGTCCGTGACGGTCAGGGGCCCGTTCTTGCGGTAACATGCCGGTCCCGGGTGCGCGCCGGCGCTCTCAGGTCCTACAGCCAAGAGACCATTGCGCGCAAAGAGGATCGAGCCGCCGCCAGCTGCTACGGTCGCGATGTTAAGCATGGGCGTGGTGATTGTGCGGCCCGCGATGGAGGTTTCTGTGAGGTAGTCATACTTCCCATCGTACCGCGAGACGTCGGTGCTGGTCCCGCCCATATCGAGGCCGATGACGGGCGTGCCGTCCCGAGGGTCATGGCAGGACCTCGCGATGCCGACGACGCCGCCTGCGGGACCGCTCAGAAGCGCCTCGTTGCCGCGGAAGCGGGAGGCTGCTTTGAGGCCGCCGTCGGAGCACATAAAGTCTACGCGGCGTGGCGGGGCGTCGGGGAGGAAGCCTGCGTGGAAGGAGGCGACATAGCGCTGTATGACGGGGTAGAGGTAGGCTTCTGAGCATGTTGAGGTGCTGCGGTTGAGGAATTTGATGGTAGGAGAGGTGGATGACGAGGTTGTCACGTAAGAGAAGGCGAACTCGGGAGAGCGGGCGAGGGAGGCGACGAGGTCTTCGTGGGCGGGATAGAGGTAGGCGTGCATGAAGGAGATTGCGAGGGAGGTGTAGCCTGCATCCTTGAGAGCGCGGAGTTGGGATCGGATAAGGTCTGGGTTTGGGCGGCGGAGGATGCGGATCAGATCGCCATTTGGTGTGCTGACGAGGTCTCCTTCCTGGGGATTAGATGATGAGGATGAGGTTGGTGATGTTGTTGAAGCGGCCTTGAGAGCGGCTTCCTTGTCCAGTGGCGTTGGGTTGAGATCGTAGTCTGCCGGCACGATGCGCTCATCGATCTCAACGACGGTCGAGTGTAAAGCCGTGGGCTTGCGAATGTTGAGATCGAAAAGTTTTGGACGGGACTGGTCGCCGATGACGCAGACATCTTTGAAGCCTTTGGTGGTGAGGAAGGCGAAGCGCTCGCCCTTGTGTTCTAAGAGGGCGTTCGTCGCGACTGTGGTGCCGATGCGGCATGATACTATGAAAGTGTTAGAAACAAGATTGAAGAGAATTCATGATATGAAAATGCACCGATGCGCGAGCCATCGAGCTTTTGGCCGATGGGGATGGGCTTCCCCTCCACGGATTCAAGGACGCGCCGGATGGCTTCTGTTGGGGCGTCAGGGTAGTTTGCCGGATCTTCGGAGAGGAGCTTGAAGATGAGGGGTTCACAGCCGTCAATTTCGGCGATGACGTCGCAGAATGTGCCACCGCGGTCGATTGAGACTCTGATGTCGGCGGCCATGATGCTTAGGAGAGATTGGCAGTTCCTCGTGGTGTTGATTCTCAGAGGAATCTTGGCCGTGAGTCAGGACTTGGGGATTCAAGAGAATGTTTTCAGTGAGTGCTCATAATTGAGCGTGAGTTGAAGCGCACAAGATTTCGCTGGCTTCCGGCCTTCAAGAACGTGGTTTATGAGCGGACATGAGTAGAACTCATCAGCGTATATAAGAGACTCTCATGAGAAGTCTCATTAGTCCTGCCGTTCCTTGTGGCAATTGATGCCGAGTGCCTGGTGAGAGGGTCCGCCGATTCCGCCCCTCCTCAGGCAGATCGCAAAACAAACAAGCGTCTGCTGGTCGGGCGTGTCGGGCGGCATGATTACGTGCGACCGGACGCCATCCGCCTTCTGCAGACCCAGCGTCGGGTCGTCTCCGACAAAGACTCTACTTCGCCGGCTCATGCTTATCGCCTGTCAAGTGAGATCGGCTTTATGGCTTCGGTATCGCGTCTACCTTTCGCGAGGCTCATGTGGCGGGAACGAGTTTACCTATGATTGCGCCATTGATCCCATAGAATACGCGCCCCGAGTCGTCCCCGGATGTTTTCCCCGGGGGACAGGTCGATCATGACCCCTCTCACAAGTTACGTGAGCACCGCTGTGGCCGGCTTCCGAGGCCGGAACCAGGGTGCGCTGCCGCCTGTCAACCGGAGCTTGGCTGTTATGTTTGCGACTAGCAGGATGCTTGAGCTAAGTTTTGGAGATCGCGTGGCAAGTGTTCAGTTCGGACGGAAGAACGTGGGAGACTGAGTCGAAGGCCAAAAGACACGCTGATCGATCACTCAACAAACTTGGCTGTCCTGGGCAGACAACCTTGTTTGGCACTCCCGTGGCACACAATTCTGCGCCAACCTTTATTACTGTTTGGCTCTCCCTTCGATAAGTTTGTCAATTGAGAGCAGCTCGGACGCACTTGTGTCCATGCGACCAATATATGTGGCAGAAATACTGTGCCTTGAGATGGCACTGAATAACTTCGAACGTTTCCACTAAACTCAGCAATGCGCGTTTGCAACATCGCTGGGCTCAACAGGATCACTGGCCACGATCGTATTTATCTTCCATCATCTGCCTCATCATAGCAATCGCTTCTCGTTCACAGGGAATCAAATGGCAACGAAGCTTTATTAGCAGTCGACTCAGAAAATGCACGTTGAATCTCCCGATTATTTGCGACTGACTCGGCTTGTTGTGGGCCAACGTGAAGAGAGCCCAGAAGCCCACACTCTGAGCTCACTTGTTTAGGATCGCTAGACATCGCCAAGGTCATACGCGAACCTTGAGACTTATCAAAGACTTAGCAAGACTTGCTAATCTTGCTCAACGCGCGCGCCTCGTGGTCCATCGACCCAAACACCTGGGGCGGCATAACATTCCCGGAGCTCAGTATCCGCAGTTGAATCTGGGGAAAGCCTTGGCTACTTTCACTTTCCACTAACGAGCTACCCAGGCAAAGCGCGCCGAGTGAGCTAGCTTCTAACAGCACTCCGCTTTGCAATATAATTAAGTTGCCATTGTCCGTCCGATTGCTTAGTCCGGCAACTGTTTCCCAAGGGGGTGCTATACAGACTTGGCTACTAATCAGGGCTGCGAGGCACCACGCGTTCAAGTTGAAACGTCACTGTTAATATAAATGGAACGCATGAGAGCAAAGCCACGCCCCAGAAGGCCGAAAGTGTTCGTCTCAGCACACGGGTCTTTTTTTAAGGTTCTCGGTTGGGCGGCGCTACGCACCAAGCCCACGGTTCCACGGCGACACCGACAACCCATCCCACTCGGAAGCTCTCGAGTTGCGTCGCTTCGCTTAGAATGGCCTCGAGACATCGGCTCGAGTCAGCGAGATTATGATGGTCTATCAAAGGCTTGGACGGCAGTTGCTCTCCGTGAATCGACGAGAGGAACTTCTATATAAGTAATTGAGTAAACCCTTCAATGGCGTAATACTTCTCCCTCATTTCAACATCACTCCCCTCACACAACTGTCTCTCTCGCTATAACTTTACTACCAAGTATCAACTTGCCACCCGTTCAAGCTCGAACAATCACCACCACAAACAACAGCCAAAATGCAGTTCCCTACCTTCGCCGTCCTCGCCAGCATCATGGTCGCTGGCGTCTCCGCTCAGACCTCCTACGAGACCGCAAACTACCTGTCCGTCTGCCAGCAGGGCACCAACCTCTTCTGCACGGGCAACACCAACGTCTGCCAGAAGGGCAAGACGGACACCTTTGACGCCAAGGCTACCAAGGCCAACGAGGAGGCCTGCAAGGGCCTCCAGCGCGGCAACAGCTGCACGCAGACTGTCGCTTGCGTCTAAATTCTCTGGACCAAGTTCGTTTCTTTGATCATTTCCAAGCGATGAGGGAGGAATAGATTGTTTTCGGCATGGTTCATGGCGTTGTTGTTTAGCACAAGCATTGGGGAGGAAGCGAGTCGGCCGCCAATAGGGGAACCCGCTGCATCAAGATCGAAAGTGAGAAAGGCCAACCTGAATTGGACTTCGCATCTTATCATGAAGATGGCGCACTCGAACAAATAAAAGCATACTTCTTACATTTCTGGCTGCCATCGTACCTAAGTGAAGTGCAATGTCTCTTGGAATAGGTTACCTCTGAGTGAGCAGACATTCTACCTATCTAGGAGTCTCGGGGACCGAGAGCACAGAGCTAGTGTTTGTTGACAGGCGAGTTCGAGTCGTGCAAATCGAGGTGCTTCACTCTTGACATCCCACTCGAAAGCCGTATTACAAGACCCGTTGTTTTCCTCTGGATCTTGCTAGATGCCTAACTGCGATTGGAAAGAATTCAAAGTTAAAAAAAAGTCTTTGATCCGCGGGACCCCGCTTTCTCTTCAAAACGTTCCCCAGTTCCCACCACGTTTGCTGCAGTCCTAGCGTTGTGGTCTGATAATTACTCCATCAATTCAGTGAAGATCTGCAAAGAAAATGGCCTCTACGCAAGCTCAGTCTCTACACGGCAAAGTCGCTATCGTGACTGGCGGCTCCAGAGGAATCGGCGCCGCCATTGCTATTGAAATAGCCAAGAGAGGCGCAAACGTCAGTCCATACCCTTAGTCAAGTTTTTCGATCATTGATGAGCCTGGACCACTGACAGGAACTTCTAGGTCGTTATCACTTTTGTTTCAGAGAACAGCGTTAGTGTTGCGCAAGATGTAGTAAACAGCGTCAAAGCCTTGGGCAATGGGGCGGATGCCGTCGCCGTGCAAGCCGACATGTCCTCGCCCGACTCTCCCGCGCGGGTCCTCGAGGCCACTGTCAAAGCGTTTGGGGAACACATCGACATCCTTGTGAACAATGCCGGTATTACCTCCAAACTACCCGTGTCAGATGTTACACCAGCAAATTTCCAGGAGAGCATCGACGTCAACCTCAAAGGGCCCTTCTTCATGTCTCAAGCTGTCATACCGCGCCTCCGCCGCCCAGGCCGCATTATCAATATCACTTCCGTCGCAGCACGGGGCGGCTACGCCTCCGCCAGTCTCTATCTAGCCTCCAAGGCCGGGTTAGAGGGCCTCACACGTGCTTTAGCTGCGGAGTTGGGCCCGGCGGGACATACTGTGAACGCCGTTGAACCTGGTGTCACGGAGACGGACATGGCGCGCGACTCAGGAGCGTCGGAAGCTCACGGGGAACACGTCAAGATGATTGTGGCCATGACGCCTTTTGAGAATCGGATGGGCAGGCCGGAGGATGTCGCTTATGTTGTTGCTATGCTGGCTGAGGAGCAGGCAAATTGGGTTACTGGGCAGACCATATCTGCTTCTGGAGGGTTCTCAATGTTGTAGGCTACCTTTAAGTCCGAAATACACAGCTGCTATTTCGTTCGAGAGTCACTCCAGGATTTTACCAAAGGAGTCTCCGTGTCTCATAAGTTTGACCACGATTGTTCGAAGGACCATAGCCTTCTTTAGTGCTTGGGTTATTCGCTGACGATTCTGCTTTACCGCCAAACTTCAAACTCATTGTGATGTATTCATAAAAATTGCGTAGATTTGACTCCGGCCCCTGCCCAGATCCCAGGCCCTAACGACGCTTACAACAAAACAATCACGCGGCCATCATAAGCTCCTGCAGGCGTCGCAGAACCTCGTCTTCACCAGGATAATCAGGACCCTTGATAGACTCAAAAGCCGGGAGCAGGACAGCCTCGTCAATCTCCTTGTATTTTCCAAGCTGCACATGGATCACATTGCCGTTCCGGGAGGCATCGGCCATCAGATAGGCTGCGCCGCGGGCAACGGCTTCAGCGGTCTGAATCTCGACTCCAATCTTGGCCATAAGACCTTTCAAGTCCGGCAGTACGCTGCTATCCGCCCACGTTGGCGCCAGGGAGTTGACTCTGATGGGCAAATTGGCGGATGCGATGAGCGGGATCAGACCACGTCCGAATCCGAGAACCGCATGCTTGGCCGTGGCTGAATTGTGTTGTCAGCTGGAAAGGCTAGCCATGGAAAAGCTCAAACTTACAGTAGTCCACGGCACGAAGCCGTTGGAGACCGGTTGTAGAACCGTTGATGACAATGCTGCCACCCTCGGCCTGTTGCCGCATGTAGTATATCGCGATCGTAGCCGTGTGCATTACACCTGTGAGACTGACATCCAGAAGCTGGTGAGTGGGCTCCTTCAGATCGCCGTTCTCGTCTACTTCCGTAGACAGATAGTTGGCGCGGGGACCGAGGCCAGCGTTGGCAAAGACATGATCAATGCGTCCATAGATCTCCTTTGCCTTCTTGAAGAGTGCGATTTGTTCAGCCCAGACGGTGACATCGGTCTTCACAAACGTGTAAGAGTTTTCGGGCTGCTCCGCTGGCGGCTGAATATCTGCGTTAATGACGGAAGCACCCTGTGAAAGAAGCGTGTTGACTGCAGCGAGGCCAATGCCTGATGAACCTCCTGTCACGATGGCCACCTTGTCCTTGAGCCCGACCAAGTCTTTATCTTCAATGAGGAATTCAGCCATTTTTGTGTATACAATTGCGATGTCGTTGAGAAGAAGTTACACACACGTGGCTTGGCGGAGCTTGTCGATATTAATAGCCGGTTCCCCCTAGGCGCAGTCACCTGCAGATATTCTTCAAACCCCTCTCAGATACCAGGCAGCTGTAATGTCGTGCGACGTGTCGGTGGTCGAATGGGACTCAGACCGGGATTTGGACCGTATGCGGTGTAGCTAGGCCCATTTTCAAGCTAGGGAAGCGGAAAAGCGGCCACTTTGGACTTTCTGTGTCGTTCCAGAGTGCGACGCGTCGAGTGAAAAGCGTAAGCTGGGTGAGGGCCCCGGTGCTTTGCGGTATTTCTCGATGATCAGTGACAGGGGTTTTTGTGGGATGTGGATTGGGGGCGGCCGCCGTGTCACACAGCAAGAGAAGGACTTATATCTTTGACGGTCTCGTGGCACTGGTTGGACTAACCTGGTTTATCGAGTAATTATTGTTTGTATCCCTTATTGATTGTAGTTGCTGCAAGAAGACTGGATTGTTACATGTTCAAGTCCATTGGAGGCTGTTGCAATTTTCGATTGAGGCTTAGGTGACTTGCGCATACGTTAAGAAAAGAAGCTTGAAACAGTTCATGATGCCGAGAAAGCTTCAGACTCAAAAAGTGTACATCCAAGGCCAATGGCTTAGACGCCAAAATGAATGTAGGGAACCCATAATGGCCTCGTGACCATGCTGTAGTTTTCCAAAATCATACCTCTTGACTGATCGCCATCCTCTCGCGATGATTTGAACGTCTGGCTGTCTTGCAATACCAATATTGGGGCTTGACTGGCCACCCATCGATCTCGAAGCAGCCTCAAGCCGGAATGAAGGCCGATGCTGACAGACTCATCCACAACCCCATGATCTCGGAGATTCTCATAAACGGCCTTTGCCACGTCAACGCACAATGCATCGTCAACGTCCCACAATGTTCCTATGACATGCCGAAACCCAGCTAGCTGAAAGGCATTGGCCAGATGAATATTCTCATCAACAGATCTCATGTCCCGAATTTGACTTGTTCCGTATGCCGAGAGATAGGCTAGAAAAGGCTGGCGAACTTGGAGCTTTGTCTCCAACAAGTTTTCCACTGTGAGAGGACGATCTTGCCAGTCATTCAACAGCAGACGACTTTGGAGCGGGTCGATGGGATTCGATCCGCCATGGCCAGTAAAATGGAACAGCGTGCACGTACTAAGCGCTTCCAAAACCTCTTTTTGTTTACTTTCAGGCTCAAGGCAGGAGATTTCCATGCTCTCGCAGATGGCTTTCACCTCGTCAATCTCACTGCTTGCATGCCAGAGCGATCCTTGAGCTGGGGTATCTGGCATGGCGATCAGTACAGCGCTTGACTCTCGATTTGAATCCTTCCTGAGTGATCGTTCCTGGCGGGTGATTGTGATGGCTTTGACTGATGAACTGTAAGATGACACAACTCTGTCGAGTGTTGAGTGGGAGTCGCCCTTCAGGTGGTAGCCTGCAGCGTGCAGCGGGAAGCGAACAAGTGGTCCTGTGGGAATCCACCAAACGTGTGGCCAAGTTTCTCCCTCTGCTGGAGTTTCGACGAATCCGAGGGAGGTTAAGATGGGATTGACAATGTCATCCCAAAGCCATTCGAGCGTCTCCAGAGACTCTACATTTGGTAAACGCCGAACAATATCATCTCTTCGGAGCCTTGTAAGTTCGATAGCCTCGATTCCACCTTGCTGAATAACCAACGCATCGCATCGGTATGAGCTCACATTGATGATTATGATGGGACCATCCATCGCCGCTTGCCTCAAATCAGTCTCACTTCCAGCGAGGAGAAAGTCTTCGAGGTCCGGAATGCGTCTGATCTCTTCCAAAAGACCACTCATCTGACTGCTGACATTGTGGCGTCGATCAGTCGCGAAAGTATTCGGCAAGGAACCAACATCTAGACCTTCCGTTTCGAAGAAAGTATCGTTCTCTTCATCTCTGGCTGAAGCATCAATGACATTGCGAATCTCATTGAATCGTCGAGCCAGCTCTGGATGCTTGTTGTGAAGAAGTTTGACGGCAGATAATGGGCTTTTTCCAATCTCTAGAGATATTGCCGCGGCATTCGACGGGAGGTCTACCACAGAAGAAAGAAAATACTGCTTATCAGAGGGCTTCAGACTAAGAGGAACCCATAAAGGGATCAGGTCCATAAGAGTCTTAGCGACATTGTACATCTCGCAACCGTCAGTCCCCAAACTTGAAGCCGAGATAAATCTTTAGTCCGACCGTCACTCGCGAAGCGATATCGCCGTTGGCCAAGTTCAAAGCTGCCAAGAATATGCGTTTAGCCTCATCGTGGTAGCGAAAGTCTTGTTTTGTACGATTGAACTTGCGTTCCAGCATCATTCCCAGACTGCCGAGTATCCTAGCCCTTGATGAATGACTGTCAGACGTGATACGTATAGCTTCTCTGACAAGTTGAACACTCTCTTCGACGTCAGCCAGTTGACTCCCCAGCTGAGATCTATCATCTAGAGCGGTGGCGAGATTATCGAGAGTAACTACACGGCCAGTATCGTCATCGTTGGACAACTCTGTAAGAGACTCGCGAAGGTATTTGACTGCCTCATCAATATGCTTCACGTCTCTTGATCGTGAGAATTTCCAGTTGAGATATTTCCCAATGTTGTTCAGACGATGAGCACGATTTGGATCCCTGTGCACAATGGTTTCCCTTGCCAATTCGATGGCCTTATCAAGATCGGCAGAACTCCCATTTCGCATGGATCGCTCAAATGTCTCGGCAGCCAGATTCACCTTGAACATAGTTAGTTTCGACCTCTGTTTCGGGGATTTCGGATCTGCTGTGGATGATGTGGCATCTTCGGTTGCTTGGATACTTTCATTCAGATCTTCCATCAGACCAATACGCCTGAATCTCCCACGAAGACTGCCGGAGAGATTACCCAGCCTAACAGGTCGTTCCGTATCTTTCATTTGTGTTATCTTTACCGACTCTCGATGGTATCAAATGGCTTCATTGAGGTCTGCTGACTCTCCGAAGCCCTCAAATCGTAGGTTGAGAACGCTCCGAGCAAGCTCAGCCGTAGAGATCATCCTCTTAGATCGTTGGACGGCGTGCCTTCTAGAGATTGTCTAATCACTGATATTGCCTCTTCGATTTATGCAAGATCGCAAGCTTCGATAATTGGAGGGAAATTGAGAACACTAATCTGGCATGAAACCGGTCCGTCCCTACTTAACGTCTCTGGTAAGAATTTCTTCGACTCGCATAATCTATCCACAATAACCTAAGCTGAGCTTTTCCAAGCATTCTTCATTAGGCTCCATGTTGCAAAGACTGCAAATGGAGAGACGAGGGTCTCCGGTAGGAGGCCATTACGTAAACTCCCGTGGAGAGCTACAAAAGCCCATGCCAAGTTTTGAAGCATTTTTTCTTTCCAGCGAGCTTTCGAGTCATCAGAAACTAGTTCGCCCCTGTTTTGCGCTGTTCTTCCCCAGTCTAGCAAAAGACGGCCAATCTCTGTCATAGTAGACACAGCCCAAAATCTAATCGCCAAGAGCGATAGTTGCTCCTGTGTCTTGGCCGACCATTTGATTATGCTTTTAGAGGATAGGAAGGCTGTGGCCTCGCAGACATGAAATGAGGTAAGGGTAATAGTCTGTAAGACTTGGATGATGATATCCAGCGCCTCAACAGGTTTGTCTGTCGACTTTGTCGCCGCGATTCGATTAACGAGGTCTCTAGCGGCCATCCACATATCCAAAACGCCCCAAAGTCGATTCATGACCTGCCACTCGTCTACCATATTTGTGAGGGCTTTCATACGAAGTGTAGTTTGACTTGCCCAGGTAACAATTGATCTGGTATCAGGCTCCGTCAGAGAAGTCTTTGAGAAACTCAGCGACCTTCTCGTTCCTGTCCGGCGTAGATAGGAGATAAGTAGGTCCATGACAAGAGTGAGCGTTCTCATTGCCTCCCCAGCGAACAAGAGAACGATATCCCGGCTATCACGCGGCTCAATGGCTTGATATAAGTGCACGAGGAACGAGTTGACCTGACTGCTGTTGAAGCGAGATAACTCCATCTAAGCGATTGTTCGGAGACTTCAAAAGGATACTGTAGTTTATGCGTAATCGGTCTGGTAAGAGATGAAAATGAGGTAATTATTAAGAAAAAGGTCGTTCAGGGCGTGGGCATCTATGCGCTGTAGGCGCTCAACGATGACTGGTCGACATTCTACAGGTGTGCGGGACGTGATCAGTGACTGACAGGCTGGAGATGGATAAACACTTCTAGGTAGGTATAGGAAAGCACTCATACGTGGCAACACCTTTTATTTGTGTGATGTAGATGAGAACTTGGCCCTCTCGGAACTGGTTCCGAACGTGCCGTTCCGAGAAGTGAATGGTCCACACGCAATTCGCGGCGAATGGGCGAGCGTTCTAGTGAAGCCATGGCACTGTTCCGCTCAACGTCCTAGCTGACCTCAAGTTCTCTCCTCCACTTCCCGCCGATAAGATCGCAGCATCACGGGAAGGGTCTATCAACAAGTGCAACAAGATCCATGCCGATATTAAAGGCCCGGACTACAAGTCTTGGACGTCATTTGGTATTCCAGGAAAGGGTGTCGTCTCTTCGTTTGGTGACCACACTACCCCGGCGGGTAACTCTCATCTCGTTGCTTTTGGGCCTGACCCAACAAGCCCGGAGGGCATCACTCTTGGTAATCCTGAAGATGTGAAGGCGGCGGTAGTTCACCTGCTGCCTAAGGACCTCCAGGGCAGTGCCGTGATTGATCGCATAGTGAGCAAACATTAACCATGAGCCCCCAACAACCAGTTAACGATGCGAGTAGGTGTCTCACGACTGGAACAACGACGAGTTCTCCAAGGGTACCTGGTGTTACCTGCCGCGAAACTTCACCACGAAGTATCTCAGCGCATTTCAGTGTCCTCACGGCATTGTTCATTTCGCTAGCGCGGACTGGTCAGATGGCTGGCGTGGCTGGATCGACGGAGCCGTTCAGAGCGGCATGCAGATTGCCAGGGAAGTCATTGATAGCCAAGGAAGGACTAATAGTCGTCCCGTTTCATTGTCCCGACTTTGAGAGGACAGAAGGAGACTGTAACTCCATCTGCGAGGATAGTCTGCGTACCATTTCAGTTCTGTAATTATGCATTCGAATTCTTATCACGAAAAGGTGACTACCGGATCTATAGCGACGTAGCAAGATTAGTACAATTAAGCTTCCGACTCGTTACCGTCACTGTTTTGTCATTTGAACGAGCATAACGTGCACGACGAGCGCATACACTAGACCAGTGCGTGCACCAAAATTCTCAACCTTGAAAGTCCAAATCAGAATAAGAATCATATAAGCTCATTAACCATGGTAATTTTCATATTGACTCCTACCCTAGGAACCACTTGAACTGTTAGCTGGGATAGATACTTCACAATGAAAATTAATAGATACAGTACTTAGAGCTCAACATTGGCTTCAGTCTCTTAATGCAACAGTGTAATGCATGACTGATCAACTGACCAAGTGATGATCCACCCCTGACCTGAAGCGTTGAAAGTAAATGAAATAGCAAGAATATCAAACTAATTGACAACTTGCTTGTTGAGGAATAGGGTCTGCACATTACAGAAGCCCTTCAGGCCATTCGCACCCCACTCGGTTCCGATACCACTCTCCTTGTGCCCTCCAAACGGAGCGAGGGGTGTGAGATCGAAGTGTGTGTTGACCCAGACGTTGCCTGCTTGGATTTCCCTGGCAACCCTGGCTGCTCTCTTCAAATCGTTAGTCCAGACGGATGCTCCAAGGCCCATTGTGGTATCATTAGCCCGAGAAATGACATCGTCTTCGTTGCTCCACGATAGAAGGGGAACAATAGGCCCTGTTCGAGAGATGTCAAATTCAAGATTCATATGTTTGGAATGGAGTTGGAAAACCTACCAAAGGGCTCCTCGACAACCAGACGAGACTTCTCAGGAGGGCGGTCGATGATCGTAGGGGTAATGAAGTAGCCTTGCGATTTCTCGACGTTGCCGCCCACGGCAACTTGCCATCCTTGGGACTCGATGTCCGAAAAGAACGTCTTGACTCGCTCATACTGCATTGAGTTTTGCAGAGGTCCATGAGTGATGCCAGGTTGTGAGCCATCACCAACATTGTACCCTTTGACGTGCTTCACCAAAGCCTCCTTGAAGCGGTCAAAGATGGTCTCGTGTACGTAAATACGTTTCAAATTAAGGCAGATCTGATTTTAAGTGTAAGCGAATAGTTTTGGGGATATAGAAATGGTAGGATAAAAGGACATACCTGGCCAGAGTTGAGAAAGGCGAAAAATGCCACCTACATTACTTTAATCAGTCATACTAGGCTGCAGACTCTCGGGGTTATACATACCTTCTCGGCGACCTTGTCAACGTCTACATCCGGGAACACGATAGCAGGATCGTTTCCTCCCCTTTTGTTGTCAGTCTTTACCATAAAGTAATCAGCACTGCCGATACACTCACAATTCCAGCGTGACTCTCTTCAATGTCTTGCTTGCGCTCTGCATTACCAGTTTCCCTGTGGCTGTGGATCCAGTGAAGCTGATCTTGTCAATACCGGGGTGACTAGTCAGCCAAGGGCCAAGGTCGTCGTCTCCGCTCAAAGACTGAACCACACCCGGCGGAAAGAACTGCTGTGCTAGTTCAACTAACTTCAGCCCACAGTACGGGGTGAATGGTCTGCAAGTTGCTTAGCATCCATAGTATAGTTTCCCATTGTGCGAACATTCTTACGATGGCTTGACAATGATCACATTCCCAGTCAGGAGAGCCGGTGCGATTTTGCCCGTCGCAAGAAGCAAGGGAAAGTTCCAAGGAACAATAGCGCCGACTACACCCAAAGGAGCATAACGAGTGATAATTGTCCGGTGATCGTTGTCCTCTACAACATCCTCCGGTAGTGGGATGCCGGCCATGCCACGAATCCAGCTGATTGCAGCCTCTGTCTCGGCATCTGCTTGAGGTATCTGGGAAGTGTAAGCGTAGCTCGGCAATTTGATGCTACAAACAAGACTGCGGCTTAGCGTTCATACTGGCTTTCCTTGTTCAGAGATCAGCAAGTCTCTGAACTGGGTTCGGTAGCTATCCACAGCATCCGCATATGCCAAAACTGCCCTCTTTCGGTCTTCGTACGAAACTTTCGACCATGCTTTGAAGGCATCTTTTGCTGCAGCGACGGCAAGATCAAGATCCTTGCGCGTAGCGATAGGGACCTCTGCTTTCGCTTTCAGGTTTGCAGGATTAATGCCATGACGATTGTTCTCGGTTGGAGAAGCTTTTCCGTCGATAATTTGGACAAAATGGTCGCTGAAACTCAGTGCCGTAGAGCGACCGCTATTGGTAGTGGAGGACATGACGCGTTGTACTTGGAGCTTGGAAAATCACCGACTGTAGAAACACAAATCATACCCCGCACAGATTGTTGAGGTTTTTCTGACAGGCTCGAAATAAATACAGATTGGTACGAGGGCATCACTCAACGGGTATCTAAGACATTTCGGTTACTCAGCTGGCAGCACGAATACCCCGCATCCAGGGACACTGCAAAGACCGGACCGACCGCCGACAAATCGGATACCATCTCCTTCCAGATCCTCGGCTAATATGAAAGCCTTTGGAGAGCTTTTGGCCTATATCATATGTCTCTCGGTCCGCGATGTTCTCGTACACCCATATACCTACTCCCAGCACTATCTTGAGTAAGCACGTACATCACGAGACTCGGGAAGGCTATACTCAGCTCTAAGCTGCTCCACTTGATGACTTCAGATATTGAACTTGTTTAGCAGTGTCTTCCCAAAAGGTCTCCATGCGAAGAAACTGCTAACAAGGTCTATATCTCGTCAAGGCTCTTTGACTGGTTGCAACTTGCAGATTGGATAGGAGATGCACAATGAGCCGCAATGTA